AGCCCTCTGAATTACCTTATGTACAGGATGAGAGATGTAGGGATCTGGACAAACAGATGGTTTGGTTTTTGTTTGTTTCTTCCTTCTTGCTTGGCTAACTTCTATTAACTAAAACTCTGGCAGAGATGCTATCATCTCTAAGAAGTTCCCTGTCATTGCTAGTTCTGGTTGCTTCCTTACCTCTGTCACAACATTTCTCTCTCTCTGTAAATTACCTCTGCAGCTACATCACTTGACCTAAAGGCCTGAGAATATTTTTACTTTGAGACATTAAGAACTTAAACAGCTCCTAGTATACACTGATTGCTTGAAAAATCACAGAATGAAAAAATACTGTGTGACTTACTTTGTTCTCCATGGTGCCTGGTGTAAGGTCAAAGTGTTGTTCAGTTAATGTTGTACTTAGTGAATAAATATTGTATGGTTTCTCCTAAAGGAGGAACGCAAAGTATAAATAAAAGAGCAGAATAAAAGATGGGCAATGGTGAACAGGTAGGTAGATCTTTTGCAAAAGGAAAGGGGACCAAGTGATGGGGGTGGTGGAATGAAAAAGAACTCAGATGTGTTACGTCCGTGTACCTCCTCCTCCCAAGGAGTGCAATCACTGTGTACTGCAGACGTGTACTAATGATAAACTAATCTAAAAAAAAAAGGAAACATTTTCTAGGAATGCTTCAGAGAAGGAATTAGCCAGAACTTGGAAAGTGTGAGTGAAAGGAAACTCTAGGAGGTATGCATTAGTCTGTGGCGTGGTATTGAGACTGTGCTCTCCTCACATGGCCTCCTGTTTAAAATCCACATGAGGTAGAAAGCTTCCTCCAACTGAGGCTGGATTTCTGCTTTTGAGAGATTAAGGTAAATTTTTCTGCAGATCCCACAGGACAGCAGTGTGCATACACATGACATGTGAATAATATGAGATTGACAGCCAGGCTTGGTGGCACACACCTATAATTTCAGCACTTGGGAGGCTGAGGCAGGAGGATCATTGCCAGTTCTAGGCCAGTGTGAACTGTATAGTGAGACCCTATCTCAAACAACCAAACAATAACAAAAGTCATTTGAAAATAAATAATATGGTTCTTAAAAAAGGAAAAAGAAAGCTAGGCGTGGTGGCACACTCCTATAATCCCAGCATGGGGGAGAGGCAGGAGGATTGCTGCAAGTTCAAGGCCAGCCTGGGCTACATAAGTGAGTTCAAGGGCAGCCTGGACTGCATAGTAACACCTTGTCTCAAAAAAGAAGAGATGGGCAGAAGCCAAATTTAATTTACTGAGGTGGTTGTGATGATAATCTCATTTTCCTCATCCAGTTAGTCTAGAAAGGGCCCTAATCCTAACTGGGTATTCTTCCTTTTCCTGAGGGAGCCAAGCATTTCCCTGTCTCATTCCAGCTGTGTTGAAAATCTGAAGTAAAGCTGTTCATTGAAATAGTTTAAGTGCAGTATGTGGAAACACTGTGATTTGCAGGTAGGAGGTATCATCAAGAAGACTGGCTGTAGTTGTGCTGGGCATACATTGACAATTAGCTAATTGGAATTTAGTTTTTTTGATTTTTTTTTTTTTCTGGTACCAGAAATCGAACTCACGACCTTGTGTTTGCCAGGCAGGCACTGTGCCACTGAGCTAAATCCCCAGCCCAATTTAGTTTTTTTGATAAAAAGCCCATATATTCAGATTTCATTTGTGTATTCAAGTTAATTTTTACTTCATCAAAATTATTTCCTATTCCAACAATGTTTTGCCTTCTTAGTGTGTACATGAAACAGTTTCAGTGAAAGCATAAGGACATGTTGATGTTGAGTAGCATTTAAACCGTTAAAATGGGCAGCCAGAAATCTTATAAAAGGGAACTGGAATAGAATTAGTGCTAGAGAGGGACTGTTTATTTTGAGCTCACAGGATGGTGGCTTGGGCAGTGTGAGACATCATTGGTCCTCAGCTTTGCAGCTTCATACCACCCCCATACACACACACACACACACACACACACACACACACACACACACACTCTCCAAGTATACTTACAGTAGATTAAATTTTGTGGAGTCGGCTCACACTGGTCATAGTAGCAAGAGATTGATTGATGTGAATGAATTAATTTATAAAATGAATTTTAGATGAGGTGTGGTAGTATGCATCTCTAATCCTAGCACTTAGGAGGCTGAGGCAGGAGGATCAATGCAAATTTGAGGCTAGCTTGGGTTACATAGTGAGTTCAAGACCAACCTGAACTATATAGTGAGACCTTCTCTCACAACGAAGAATTTTAACGGCCACATTTTTGTGTATTTGCCATCAGTGCATATTTTTGGAGTATTTGTATGGGGAGCATATAATAGTCTGAAGGTTGTCAGGAGAACATGGAGTCAGAGCAGAGGGCTGGTGCAGGAAGGTAGATTTATGGAGTGCTCTCAGTAGCCTGCATCATCGAAGTGTGATTGCCAGGTTTCTCCTGTATAGGCTGCACCTGTCAAAGGCATGATGAGGACGCTCTGCCCTTGAGCCTGCCATCTAGGGCAGCATTTCACCTTCCCAGGTATAGAGGCGGTACTTCTTGGGTTTCCTTTTCAAGGCTCCATGCATGCTCCCTATACGCTTGTAATTTCATAGTCTGTCTTCAGAACAACATTTAGTAGTCTACAGTGTTATTTTAGCCTCAATAGAATATTAGATTCCTGGCCCCATTCTTTCAGATTTTAAAATAGAGATGTTCCTTGACTTACAATGGAGTTAGGTCTTGATAAGGTCATCATAAATCGGGAAAAAAAAAATGTCAGAAATGCATTTAATATATGTAACCTACCAAATCTCACTTAGCTTAATTAACCTGCCTTAAACTGCCCACAACACTCATGTTATTAGCCTACAGTTGAGCTAAATTGTCTAACATGATACAAAGCCTCTTTTATAATAAAGCATTTAATATCTAATGAAACTTAGAGAATACTATATTAAAAGTGAAAACACAAAATAGTTGTACTGGTACACTTTGGTACCATCATAAAATTGAAAAATCATTATGTCCAAGCCAAGTATGATGGCACGTATTTGTCATAGCTATTCAGCAGGCTGAGGCAGGAGGATGACAAGTTTGAGGCCAACCTGAGCAACGTAGCAAGATCCTGTCTCATAAATAAAAAATGACTGGGAGTAACTTAGTGGTAGAACACCTGCCTAGCATACATGAGACCTTGGGTTCAGTCTTCAGTGATGAGAATAAATAAGTAAACAAACAAACAAACAAACAAACATGTATTAAGTCAAGCCATCATAAATCAGGGGCCTCCTATATGTTGTGCTGATGTGCAATCTCATTTCTTACAAATTGAGTTTGTATTGTTGGTATTCATATACTCAGAGATGCCCTATTGTTGATATCCTTGTATTGGCCACTAGGAAGGCTGCTATATTCCGGGTGCTATACCTGACAGACAAGATACAGATTGACATGTCCATCCCTCTTCAAACATGGGACTCAAGGTTATATTGAGAGTGCTATTTTACTATTGTGGGTAAGAAATACTGGTTCTCTAAGCACTGCCAGCATCCCCTTATTTAATCCATAGAAGGACGCTATGAAAAAGCTACTGTCTTGTATTAAATATGGGGAAAACTGAGTGGAGGGACCTACGTAATTTGCCTGAGAGGACATTCCTCTTAAATGCTGCCTTTCAAGCATACATCTGATTCAAAGCCATGGGGTTTTTCTTATTAATCAAGATTATAGTTTTCACTATAAAAGTAAAGTGTTTCCTTACTTAAATTTAAAAATAAGAAAAATAAAAAGGAAATAAAATTATTCATTATCTCACTCAAGGGAAGACACTTGCTAACATTAGCTTAAAATTACTTTACACACTGCTTTGAATTAGCCTTTTGACTCTAGATTCTAGGTAGGCTTTACCCCTATATCCTTTATTTGCTTATTTTTACCATTTAATTTATAAACCAAATATTTGTAAAATTATTATTTTGAGGGTTTTGGTATGGTTTGGCTTTGATTTTTTTGAGACAGTCTTACTTTGTAGTTCAGACTGGCCTTGAATTCTCTAGGTAGCCTATGTTCGCCTCAGACTTCGAGCTATCCTCCTGCCTCAGCCTCCAGAGTATGCCACCATACCTGGCCTCCACATAATTATAAATGAAAGCATGTTTGGTTCCTGGCTCAACACTATGTGAGTAGGCAGTATTTGGAAGGACGACATTCAGAGGCTCAGAGTTGGAGGTTATTTCTTGCATAGCATCTAATAGGAGCTGCTGTTGATTTTTAGATAGTTTTGATGGTTAAGATACGGTGTCAGCCCTTCAGAAAACTTAGTCTTGAAGAGATAAGATTAAATATATGAAATAATAGCCGTGCAAGACAACATTCAATTAAATGACAGTGCAGACTCTCAGTGCTGTCACAGAGAAGAATTTGAAGACCCTCATCCACAAGTGAAGAAGTAAAGGGACCTCCTGTTGGTTGAGCATAATGTGGAGTGTGGGTTAGACACTTTGTAGTCTCCTTGATTATCACACCCCTCCCCAGGTGGTAGCTGTTACTCCCATTTTAAGTTTCATTTGGTTCTTTTTGCTGTTTTGTTTATTATAGTTTGATAAACATTCTTATATAAATTTATTTTATACATGTAGCTCATGATTTTCTAACAAGTTGTATGTATTCTTTAAAGCTTTTGACTCAAAATTGACATTCAGAGACTTTATGCCATTTATACTCTCATTGGGGGCAGGATGAGAATATCCAATTTTTATAGTCTTTCTCCAATTCTGATTACTATCATTTCAAACAAATTTTTCCTAGTTTGATAGGTTAAAAACAACCTTCTAGGTTGTAATGTGCATTTCTTTGCTCTCAAAGGAAAGTGAGAGTGTATGCTGGAGTTGTCATGTACGTAGCTGCCAGATTTGGATTTTTCCTCTATGAACCATAGTGTTTGGAGAAGAGAAGGTTAAAAGCCTTCATCTTATTTATTTGTTGTATCTGTTTTTTGGCAGATCTCTGACATCTACATCAGTGGGGAGTCAGGGGACATGTCAGCCAAGGAAAAACTACTCTTGTGGACTCAGAAGGTGACAGCTGGTTATACGGGAATCAAATGCACCAACTTTTCTTCCTGCTGGAGTGATGGGAAGATGTTCAATGCACTTATTCACCGATACAGGTAAGTACAGTTGATTTGTAGGCTTCCTCTTGTCTCTTACAAAAGATTGTAATGCCTTTCCCCCCTCAATCAAAAATTAAGCTGTGATTTATGTATTCACTTGAAAAAAAAACCTTTATTAAGCTCCTACTATTCTAGGCTCTGGGCACAGGTAGTAGTGAACAGAGGAACAAACCTTCTTGCTCTCATGGAATTACCTTCCAGTGGGTAACAACAAATAAATAAGCGCCTGCTGTCATACAGTGGCAGATGCAGTGAAGGGTTAGAGTGAGGGGCTAGTGGCTTTTAGTTTGCACAGAGGTAGTCTGAGATGGCCTCTGTGATGAGGACATCAGGAGTGAGCCATGAGCACCTCCGGGTCCGAGTGCTGAAGTTGAAGGAAAGCGTGAGTGCAAAGTGCACGGGAGTGTGGGGCTGGATTGGACGGGCTGAGGACTAGCAGGTGGCTTGAAGTAAGCTGAGTGAGGAAGATAGGAATCAAAACCTCCTGCTTTCTTCTTGTTCAGTATTTTTCACCTATGGGAATTCTTAAGAGTTTTTCTTTGTATGAACTTATGTGGCAGGCTGGGGATGTAGCTCAGCGGCACAAGTGCCTGCCTGGCAAGCACAAGGTCCTGAGTCTGATTCCCGGTACCACACACACACAAAAAAAGAACTTGTGTGGCATAGACTTTTATGTGCCTTGATGAACTTTTACAGACCTGATCTGGTAGATATGGAGAGGGTGCAAATCCAAAGTAACCGAGAGAATCTGGAACAGGCTTTTGAAGTGGCCGAAAGACTGGGGGTCACCCGGTTGCTGGATGCAGAAGGTGAGAGAAAGTTTACTGAACTGAGGGTGTTAGCCTTATAGCCACTGTTCCTTCTCTTACAATTGTGACACATTTCTTTCCTGTCTGTCCTCTCAGATGTGGACGTACCATCTCCAGATGAAAAGTCTGTAATCACTTACGTGTCTTCAATTTATGATGCCTTCCCTAAAGTCCCTGAGGGCGGAGAAGGGATCAGTGCTACGGTAAAAGAACATTTTCCTGAAGTACCCCTGAATGTGATTTGTTTGGCTGGAATACACTGCTTGCACAGTGTTTCTTAAGTTTCCATTGTATATGGAGCACTTATACAGAGCTACCTGAACCCACATTTTCTTTATCATAATGGACATTGTAGCCAGGTGTGGTAGTGTACTTCTGTAATCCCATCACCTAAGAGGCTGAGGTAGGAGGATGATTACAATTTCAAGGTCAGCCTAGGCTATATAGTGAATTCAAGACCAGTGAGACCTTGTCTCAAAAAAAAAAGTAACAGTAACATTAATAATAATGACATTGCCCTGAATCCCTAAGAAAGACCCCTAGATACTGCAGATTTTGTACTACCTAGCACAGATTATTTGGTGCTAAATGCCAGCAGAGAATGTCCTTCTCATCCTCAGCTATAATTCAAGAGAAGGCAGTGTTTTTTTCAGACGCTAATATTAGCATATTTAGGTGTATAGAGATCTTTTCTGAATATTTTTAGTAGCTTGGTCTGTAGCCTTTCTAGATGTCAGGATATTGAACGCTGGCCTGAGAGTCCTTGAGGAGCTTTGAAACTGGGACTGTGAGTATTAAACTGAGCAGCTGCCTAGGCAATTAGAGGAAAAGGATCTTCTATGGTTTGGGGTGACCTGAGCTATTTTCTCCTGTGCTTGTTCTGGATATTATTAATCAGATTTATGATGTTTATATTCTGGCAATAGGAGGTGGACTCTAGGTGGCAAGAATACCAAAGCCGAGTGGACTCCCTCATTCCCTGGATCAAACAGCATACAATTCTGATGTCAGATAAATCTTTTCCCCAGAACCCTGTTGAACTAAAGGTAAAGTCACAGACTTGCTTTTATGAATCTTTTCCAAGGAGTAAGTCTCAGACCTTGTTGCTCCTGGCTCTTGGGGAGGTGGCATGAAAAACTGGGCCCTATTTCTTGCATTCATTTATTTATTCATCAAATATTAACTTGTAGGCACTTTATAACCAATATATACACTTCAAAGAGACAGAAATTTTGGCCAAGGAGAGAGAAAAAGGAAGAATTGAGGAATTATATAAATTATTAGAGGTAAGAAAATTTATCTTTGACTAAAACTTTTATAGTTTGCTAGTTTGCACTGTTGCTTTTTGCGCAGGCACATTCCCTTTGCTCTGTCTCCAGCCTGCACTAATAGCAGTGCCCTCGATGTGGTCTTGAAAGTTGCGGTAAAGCAGCGGTACCAACTGTCTATATTTTTTTTTTAAGTACTAAGTGGCACACATTTATTCAGAAATCCTGAGTTTTGTGGATGAGTTTCTCTGCTAAAAGAGCTGGATTTTTCCTGGGGTGAAAAGAAAAGACACTTCATGTTTGGATTCCTAGAGAATTTGAAGCTATAGATAGGCATTTAACCTTGTAGAATGGAGATTATTGACAAGGAAGATTTATAGAAAGTGTGAAGGAGTAGAAGGATTTAGAACAGGTAATTTCTAGTTTCTGCATTTTAAAGGTGATTTTGTTGTTGTTGTTGTTCTCACCTCAAGGTAGGGCAGTGCTAAATATTGTTTTTCCATATTAAGGGGGAATGCTGCTGATTGGCTGGGTAAAGGAGAAAGAATCAAAGTATAAAGAATACATGAAAATGGGCCCCAGAGCGTGGCTGTGGTTTTGGACTGAAAAGTATCTCTTTCAGGTGTGGATTGAATTTGGGAGAATTAAGCTGCCTCAAGGATACCACCCCAATGATGTGGAAGAAGAGTGGGGAAAACTCATCATTGAGATGCTGGAGCGAGAGAAATCCCTCCGTCCAGCCGTAGAGAGGTGGGTCCAGGGCCTGGGAGTGACTTGATACTGTTTCACTGCTTTGAGTGTTTCACTTGACTGTGGTGTTTTACTTTGTTTAGGCTGGAATTGCTGCTACAGATTGCAAACAAAATTCAGAATGGTGCTTTGAACTGTGAAGAAAAACTGACACTAGCTAAGAATACACTGCAGGCTGTAAGTCTCTGTTTTGTCCCATTTTTTTTTTTTGAGACAGGTTCTTGCTGTATAGTTCAGGTTGGCTTTGAACTCACTATGTAGCCCAGACTGGTCTCAAACTTGCACTGATCCTCTTCCCTCAGCTTCCCAAGTGCTGGGATTATGGCCATTTACCACCATGCCCAGCTATCCCACTTCTTTTTTTTTTTTTTGGTCTTTTTAGACACGGTCTCGCTATGCAGTTCAGGCTGGCCTTGAACTCACTTTGTAGCCGAGGCTGGTCTCGAACTCGCAACGATCCTCCTGCCTCTGCCTCCTGAGTGCTGGGATTACAGGCATGCGCCACCATGCCCAGCTTATCCCACTTCTTATGTCATGTGTTTTCCCCCCTCTCGCCCTCTGCTTTAATGGTAAGATTAATAGTTGAGGATTCTAGCTATGTTATTTTTTTTTTCTTGGAAGCACAATGGACCCCTTGGCCCTCTCTGTTCTGTGGGGTGTAGTTTTCCCGCCTTTATTTTCCCTCTCTGTTGTAGGATGCTGCTCACCTGGAGGCCGGACAGCCAGTACAGTGTGAGTCAGATGTCATCATGTACATTCAGGAGTGTGAAGGTCTCATCAGGCAGCTGCAGGTGGATCTCCAGATCCTACGGGATGAAAATTACTACCAGCTAGAAGAGCTGGCCTTTAGGTAAGGAACATGGAGCTCACACAGAAGATGTGCTTACTACTAATGCTCACTAATCAAGAGCAGGTCATGCTGGGTGAGATGGCACACTCCTATAATTCCAGCACCCAGGAGGCTGGGGCAGGAAGGTCGCCACAAGTTTAAGGCTAGGCAGGATTGCACAGCAAGACCTTCTCTCCCAAAAGATTAAAAAGAAAAAGGAAACAAAAGACTGGATGAAGAGATAGACCCTGAATCTTATAACTTGGGCATTAGAGGTCTGTGTTTCAGTGGGAATATTACATACACATATTTTGGGCAGGAAAATTCTTACAGTAGAGGAAACTTGCCCCTTTTGTGTACCCCTCCCACTAAGTGCCTGCAGGATATCCCCACCTATTTTAGAATTACCTACAAGGTTGAGATAACATATCCAGTTTAGAAATCCTGGTGAACAGTCTGTAGAGGAAGAAATAGATACACAGAGAGGGTGAGGATTATCTGAAGTCACGTAGCAGTCCATTGTTTATTCTGTTATACCTCTCCAGGTATAAAAATAGTTCTAAACACTGTAATTTTGCATTTGCCTTGAAGACAACTCCAAATTGTTGAAGATGTTATAATACCCCTTTGCATTCATATAGCACCTTTTCAGACACTTTTCCTGTTATAATGACATTTTTATTTTTACCTTTTTTTTTTTTCTAATGGATAGTCAAGATTTTATTTTAAGTATGTTGTAAGCATATAACACTTTTTCAAAACACTTTTCCTGTTATGATCTCACTTTTATTTTTACCATGTTCTTGTCTAAGTATAGTGAAAAGTTTAAGTATGTTATAAATTTAAGCCTCTTCTTTTTTCTCTTCTTACATCATAGGGTTATGCGTCTACAGGATGAGCTGGTCACTTTGCGCCTAGAGTGTACAAACTTGTACTGGAAGGGCCATTTCACTTCACTTGAATTGGCTCCACCCTCTACTTTTACCACTAGTCACCTGAAAACAGAACCTCTGACCAAGGCAACCCATTCTTCTTCTACCTCGTGGTTCCGAAAGCCCATGACTCGGGCTGAACTCGTGTCTATCTCCTCTTCTGAAGATGAAGGCAATCTCCGATTTGTTTATGAACTGCTATCTTGGGTAGAAGAAATGCAGGTAGGTGTATGCCAATGTCTAAAAAGCTCGTGTAGTGCACTGTTTACTGGACCCAGTGACTTGTCTAAGAGGACCCTGATACATATTCCTTTAAGTACTGAAGATCTCCCTCCTTAAATCTTTTTTTGTTTGTTTGTTTGTTTGTTTTTGGTACTAGGAATCAAACTCAGGACCCTGTGCTTGCCAGGCAGGTGCTTGTGCTGCTGAGCTATATCCCCAGCTCCTTAAATCTTAAATACATGATCAGTACAGTTTTTCATAGTCTCTTTCTGAATAACATAGGGTTCTCTAATTTGGAGACTTGAGGGAATCTGTTCCCTCAGCTAACTGTACCCTGAGTGCTTATTAGAGAAATCACAGTGTCTATAAATATCAGGTTATCATTTCTGAAATTTTCTTCATTAGCAGAAGAAATTATTCTTCATTTTTTTGGTGTTAGCCTCATGTGTTCCATAATTCCAGAAGTACTGTTTATTATATTCTAGGATAATGGTTCAAATTTGATACTGTCTGTATCTTTCTGACCCTTTTATATTAAATTTTTCCTATGCCAAGTGGTACCCTGTATCAATAAATAAAAACATTTAAAGATAAGCTAACTGTTCCAAAATTTTCTTCCATTGAGTAATAGTCAGTGCCATGAGTGGATGAAACAAAATATTTTCAAATTTTTTTATATCAGTTCTGATTGTGAAGTGAAGGTATTACATAAAGAGAAATACCTAAATTATAAAGTTAAACATGTTTAGCCTATGAAGATGCCTTTCTGACTGAGAAACTCAAATATATATTTTCATATGCAACCACAGAAAGCTGCCTCCATTGCAAATAATGTGGGCTTTCCTCTCATGCCCTTTAGGGGTGATTATGACATATTCTCCTATAGAAAGTTGTAAATGATGGAGATGGTTTAGATGTCCTTTTACCTAATCCTCTATACCTAGCCACCTTGTCTAAACATTGATTCTGACCATTTTCTTTTCCTGCCTACTCAGCAGTAAATTACAACCTTTTTTTTTTTTTTTTTTTGGTAGATGAAACTGGAACGAGCAGAGTGGGGCAATGATTTGCCTAGTGTGGAGCTGCAACTGGAAGCACAACAGCACATCCATACCAGTGTGGAAGAACTGGGCTCGAGTGTCAAAGAGGCCAGGTTGTATGAGGTGTGTAGTATTCAGAATCCACATTATGTTTGGGACAGGTGGATTGGGTAGTGTATGATGCAGCCAGTATGCATAATGCAGCAGTCTCTTTAGAGAAGGGGCTTTGGAAATGAATGGTAATGATAGGTGTGGTGGTGCGTATCAGTAATCCCTCCTTTGGAGGCTGAGGCTGGAAGATCAGCCTCCAGAATAGGGATTGGAAATATGTGGGCTTTGCTTTCCTGCTCCTTACGCGTGATTATACCTTGAATTTGAGCCCAGCCTGAGCTGTATAGTAAGACCTAGTCTCCAAAAGAAGAAAAAAATGCAAAAAAAAAAAAAAATGAGAATGATGAATAGCACCTTATAGCAAATTCCCTTTCTACATTGTGTCTCTGTTAATCTTTGAAATAACCTTGTAAAAAAGGTATTTTTTTAAAAAACAGCCTTTACAGTAAAAAGAAAAGTGATAGTGGAAGCTAAAGTCACAATTAGTAATTAGCAGAAACAATGCCTAAACTCAGACTGTTTATGTATCCTGGCATGATGATGGCACATGTCTGTAATCTCAGCACTTTGGAAGTTTAGCAAGAGGATCACATGGTCAATGCCAGCCTGGATTACATTGTGAAATGCTGTCTCAAAAAAAAAATCAAAACTAAAACCAGAACCAGAACAAAACACCCAACACCTCAGATCTTTTACCTCCAAAAATTCATGTTCTTCTTTTCTTGCTGTCTGCATGTGATAGAGAACTGGTAATCTTCCCACTTTTTATTTCAGCTCTCGCTTTCAAGAAAGCAATTGAGTAGTTGGGTAATCATCAAGCATAGGTTTTGCTTTAAAGCTTTCTGGGATTGCTGGAAGGTCTACTGCATAGTTGTGATTTCCCTACTGAACTATTGCCCTCTTATTGTTGCCCAAGGCTATAAAACCTAATCCAGAAATTTTGGTGTCTAAGCTCCTGCTTTCACAGAGCAGCTAATCCTTACCTGTGTGCAGAAATTATTTGCACAATTGAAACCATAGCTTATAATGTACTCATTCTCCAAATTTTTAAAGATTTCATTTCTTTCTTGTCAGGGAAAAATGTCCCAGAATTTCCATACCAGCTATGTTGAAACTCTTGGAAAGCTGGAAACGCAGTATTGTAAATTGAAGGTGAGTTTTGACTGGCTGGTTTAGTTTCTGCTTATAGAGAATCAGTTCCCTCCAAACAACTACAAGCACATGGTTTTGCTGTGTTTTAGTTTTGTATTTATTAGGTTATCATTTACTGTATAGTTGTACATATATGATAATATGTTTTCCATTTTTCTTTATGAGTTAGAAACCACTGCTGTGGAAAATTTTACAGAAGTAGAACCTGTCCTGACTGTCCTGTTTACCAAAGCAGTGGCCATATGTCCTTTAAGACACAAAAATGAAAAGTTTGAGATTAATAGGGAGGGTATTTGTCTTGGTCACTTTCTTGTCACTGGGATATAATACCCAATACCTACAACTTGAAGGAGAAACGGTCTGTTAGGTCTCCGTTTTAGAAGTCTTAGTTCATGTGTACCAGGCTCAAATGCAGCAAGAGCATGGTGGGAGAGCCTGCTTTGGAGGAAAGCTCCACGCGTCATGGCAGCCAGGAAGCAGAGAGAGAAGGAAGAGCCAGGGAGAGAGATACACTCGTTCAAGTCATGTCCCACTGACCCGCCTCTCCCACAGGCCCCACCTCCCAACAGCACACTTAGCAGCTGAATGCACCTGTGAATGCATGCACCCATGAGTACAGTATCCCCATGCTCCAGCCACCTTCCAAATGCTCCACCTGTGGAGCATTGGGGGCTTTCAGAGGACATTCCAGATTTAAACCATAATGGGACTTGCGTCCTAGCTGGTGTTTTTTTCCTTCCTGTCTATCAAGATTTGCTGGAGTAGGGCAGGCCCAGGATTATTTTTTGTCCTGGGAATCCCCACAGAAGCCTTACTGTGACTCCTGCCTAAGATTGACATGATTCTGGGATTCTTGTGCAAAACTTGAATCCATAGAAAAGAACCCAAAAATTAAAAGGTAGGTTAGGGGCTGGGAGTGTGGCTCAGTGGCACAGAATTTACCTAGCATGCATTAGGTTCCGGATTCAGTCCCCAGTACCATAAAGAACAAAAGAGAAAAAAAGCAGGCTATATTCATTTCCCAGATCATTTTCTTTGATGTTAAATATGTGCTGTCATCTACAGATGTGAAGGCTGGCAGGCTAACCTTATAGCCCTTATCTTGTCTAGGAGACTTCCAGTTTCCGGATGCGGCACCTTCAGAGCCTACATAAGTTTGTCTCCAGAGCGACAGCTGAGTTAATCTGGTTGAATGAGAAGGAGGAGGAAGAACTGGCATATGACTGGAGTGACAACAATCCCAATATCTCAGCCAAGAGGAATTACTTCTCTGTGAGTCTAGCACAGCAGGCCTGTCATGTTTATTTACTAGCAGCAGAAAGAAATGGAAAGCTGGTCTGCCTCCAGAGCCTGGGTTTCTGGAGTTTTAGTCTGATAAATGGCAATAGGAATCCTGCTTAGTGCATCTATGCACAAGAGAAATGCATATGGAGAGAGACGCAGTAGGTCCTCAGAATTAATTTATTTGGGGTGCATTTAGAAGGGCAGTGTCTCAGGATAACAGAGCAGCATGGTGCAAGTTGTTATTTCACAAACAGCACATCTTGTGGTTAAGATTGTAGCCTTTGGAGTGAGACAGACCTAAAATTCTCATTTCTTTACTAACTAGCTCTGTGAGTTAGCTAAGTCATTTAATCTGCCTGGATCTTTGTAAAATAGGGTAATACCACTTCATAAGGTTGTATAAAAGGTTGAGTAAGACTAAATAAGTTAATCTGGGCAAAGTAAGTTGTAGAAGGGTTAGTATTTTTTTGACTGGTTTATACAATTGTCTTCTCACAAATTTCTGAATTTTCGTTGTTAATTCATTTAGTAACATTTCGATCTCCATCTCTTAATTTGTAAAGTGGACAAGAAAATTCACAGAACAAAGCATTTATGCTTTTCAATGAAAAGTATAGACAAGCAAGTAGGGATATTTTTGCTACTTTCAGTATTTCCATACCCAAGGTTATTAATGATTTCATAAACCCTACACAAATAGGACTTTTTTACTAACCCTTGCTTCACTTTAGTCATAAATTTGAAGTTCTTAAAAAACATGAGCTTTTCTAATTGGAGAGAGATATGATTCTTCTGAGCAAGAAAGAAGTGAAGTCTGTGTGAGAACTGAAATTAAGCTATATTAAAATATAAAGAAAGTGCCTTGGAAGCATCATGGTGAAAGGGTGAATGTACTAGGAAGACTTCATAGAAGCATAGGTGCCTAAGTCAGGTCCCATAGTATTAATATAATTTAGTGGCAGAGTAGGCACTGCAGGCTAAGGGAATGGTCTGAGTGCAGCCCTCGAGTCAGTGATCCCGCTCTCCTGCTGTGTCCTGCACTGGTGTGGTGCTTCCATGATCTGTCTGCCCCAGCCACGTTTACCTCTTCTCTGCCTTCAGTGTTCTTTCACTGTTCCCCTGCTTTGCTCAGATCTGGCTCAGGTCCATGTCCTTTGTGAATCGTTTTCTACTAATTCCAGCATTTGGCCCTTTTCCGAAATCTAGCATGTGCTGTTTATACATTTCATTTTGGCACCAATCCTATGTTGTGGGCTCCTTAAGGTAGGGCGGGGAACCCTGCTTTTTCTTTATTACTACTCCTTCCCTTAATACACTTAATCTGTAAAACTAAATTTAATTTTTAGGAGTTGACAATGGAACTGGAGAAGAAGCAGGATGTGTTTCGATCTCTACAAGACACAGCAGAACTGCTGTCACTTGAAAACCACCCGGCCAAGCAGACCGTGGAGGTATGTAGCTTGCAAATGTGTGAAGGTCAAATACTCAGAAGTTACTGATATACAGTAATTCAAATTGGAAGCTTTGCTCTGTTGAAAGGTCTAGAGCAATGTTGGCAAACCTATGGTTTGTGTGTTTTCTTTTAAGACAAAAGATGTTAATGTATGAGTTGGTTTTTCCACACTGAAACCTCAGTAGTCAGGTTTAATTGTGGTGTTATCCCTTTACGATAAATAAACAGGATTGGGGTTATAATTTGGGCACTCATTTGTAAGAGGTTCAGCATCACTGGCCTAGAGAATATACCAAGGGTCATTTGCTTGCATCTTCTCCCTTTTCATCCCAGACTGTTCTGTAGTCTTCAATACCTGTGAATAGTTTTGATAGTCTAAGAAGAATACTAGGAAAAACGATGTAATATCAATTCTGCTTTTATGGAGCAAAGTGACATGGATTATATTCCTTCATATAACTAAGACTCATCCTGCCTCTGGGTGGTGTAGTGCTTTTGTCCGGTGAAGAGATACAGGAGAAGAATCCAGGAAGGATTTATTTATGCCTAGGTTTTGCTGGCCCATTGATTTAGTTGCTACTGAGTGTGAAGAGACCTTTTTTGTGTAACTCCTTCTAAGAAAACCAGGTTGGATAAAAGGCAAGCCTTCTCCTCATGGGAAGCATTGCGTAGATGCCAGCTGAGTGTCTCCGTGTATCTTCTGTTGGCTTTTCCGTCATTAGCAGAATTGTATGTGGAGGGAATAGTGCACACACACTGTACATTGAGTCCCTGTGTCTTTGTGCTTGGTTGTTGCAGGCATACAGTGCTGCTGTCCAGTCGCAGTTACAGTGGATGAGGCAGCTGTGCTTGTGTGTTGAACAGCACGTAAAAGAGAACACAGCTTACTTTCAGGTATGATGGGCTTTGTGCGAGTGTGTGTGCATACTGTAGTAAAGATGAGTTTAAAAACATGCCTATATCAGTTAGCTTTTACCAATTGTGTAAACTACCTCAAAAAAAACTTCAGTTGCTTAAAACCAAAATCACTTAGCTCAGTTTGGGGCTGGCTCACCTGAATGGTTTTCTTCATTTTACCTGCCATACATGTGGCTGCAGGCTTCTAGCAGACAGGCAGGGAACTGTTTGAACCCAAATAGCATCACTCAGATGTCTGACAGTTGGCTGGGACGACAGAGTGCAAGACCATGTTCCTCTAGCATTGCGTAGCCTTCTTCACAGAGTGCCTATGGCCTAGAAGCACAAAGAAAGAGCAAGACCCTGTGCACAAGTACTTTCTGCACTTCTGTCGTGCTTGTGAGTAAACCATTGGGCAAAGCAAGTCACACGGCCATGCCCCACTTCAAGAGGTGGAGATTGAGACACCCCCTCTTGCTGAAAGGAGCTGTAAAATATTAAGACCTCATCCTGCCCCCAGGCCTTCACAACATGAAAAATATACTGCTTATTTTTGGATGAAGATAGAGGAGAAAATAAGCCATTATCTGTTTTTGCTCTGAGTTAAATAATCTCTGATTATTTTGTAATCATTTCATTGAATTGAAACAGTGGCTTACTCAAACTCTAAGCTTTGTTTGTCATCCCTAATATTTTGCTAACATGGCTCTTTCAGTTTTGTTTTGTTTTGCTTTGCTTTGCTTTATTTTCTTTGAGACAGGGTCTTGCTATTTAGTTGAGGCTGATCTTGAACTCACTGGGTAGCCCCGGCTAGCCTTGAACTCTCAGCAATCCTCCTGCCTCAGCCTCCCATGTGCTTGGATTACAGACATGCATCACCACACTTGTCTTTGGTACACAGGTTGTTAAGCCTTTCAGTTTATACTGCTGTGGATTTTGTAATGAACTATCACTAATTCAGTAGAGTGTAGTCAGAACTTGCTCAGGTCAACACAGTCATATTCTTTCTTAGTTAAATCCTGGGCATTCTGAGGTGTTGAGCACAAGCCCTCTTCCTTATTTTTGCCCTCTTCCTTATTTTTTCACAGTTCTTCAGTGATGCCCGAGACCTTGAATCATTCTTGAAGAACCTCCAGGACTCCATTAAACGAAAATACTCCTGTGACCACAACACCAGCCTGTCCCGGCTTGAGGACCTGCTCCAGGACTCCATGGTGGGTGTTGCTTCGGTGGGGATGGTTACTTCTGAGAAACAGTGACCTGTCAGCTGCTGCTGTTTATATCCTTGAGAGCTCCCGGGCAATGGGTCATTCTTGTGACAAAGTCTGGCTCACTTTCAAACAGTTTAATCCGTTTTGTTCTCTCTTGTTTTCACTTTCCTTTCCTTAAAGAAGTTTTCACGAGATCTCTTTGGGTATGTTGCCACCATCTCCCGCAAGCTGCCCAGTGCTCATCGTACTTGCTTTGCATCTTTCCTGTTTTAATGCAGTAGTTGGAGCCAAGGAGGAAGTATAGAGCGTGAAGAACAAGGTTGACAGGGATTAGCTGATACCAGTTTGTTTTCACTCTCTTACATAAAAGAGAGTTCTAAAAAAGTGAAGCCGACCTGAGTCCAGTTTTTCCTCTGTGGTTATTTTATTTTGGTAATGATGAGGTATTAGAAATCTGATTTTAGCTAAGGGCCAACATTAAAATCTTATTTAGAGGTAATGCAGTATTGTCCAGTTTGTTTATGTAGCAATATTAGCCTTTCAAAATAGTTTTACTTGCAGTATTTAATCCAAATCAATTTTATATTCATTTTCTCCAATGAATTATTCCTTTAGGAGTGCTGGTTGTAAAATTAGTAGCAGAACTACTTGCATTTACTGAACGTATTACTTAGGGTTGGCAAGACAGGGCACAGCTAGACCTCAAATTAAGAGAAATGCGTTTGCAGTAGGGAAATTACTTTTCCTGCATGAGAAGCTAGGGATTCTCATATTTCAATAGAAATTTCCAACTAGAACGAGGATAATAACCCAATACAGGTTTTTCTTGTTTTTTCAGTGGTAGGGATTAAACCTAGAGCCTTGGACATGCTAGGCAAGTGTACCACTGAGCCATACCCTCCACCCCAAGCTCCAGTACTTTCAGGTATAGTAAACCTGTGTGCTGGTTTACATTCAGTGCTTCACCTGGGCAAACAGAATGTTAATTTAATTAATTTGGAATGCAGTATAAAAGCCTGAATTTTCAGTTGTTGTCTTTAAAATGTCTCTCTTAGAGGTACTCCAAGTAGGAAGGAGGTATATAATCCTTGGCTGTTATCTCTTCCTTCCCACAGAGTGCCTTCCTGTCATAGGGTAACTCTGCAGTTGTCATATCTTCTCTTCTCGAGGGTCGCTGCTCTGTTGCCTCCTCTCCAGGTCGGGGCATCGGGTTGGCGGCGTCATCGGGGCATGGAGTCACCTGGGTCTGCTCCTCAGCTTGTCTTCAGCTTGTCCGTCAGGTTCGGGAGCATCTGTCCTGACTTCTGGTTCTTTTCAGAACTTTACCACGCTAAGCACTTGGTCTCTGGAGCTTGAGATGTTTGGCTGTGGGTTAGACAGAAATTGACTATTACAAGGAAACTGAAATGGGTAGACCAGCTGTCAAGTATGGAAGTGTGGCTGTCTGTTTGGTTTTTTTTTTGTTTTTTTTTTTATTTTTTATTTTTTCCGGTACCAGGAATTGAACTCATGACCTTGCACTTGCCAAGCAGGTGCTTTGTAGCTGAGCTAAATCCCCAGCCCCATGGAAGTGTGGCTGTCTTCCCTGATGTATTCCATTCCTCTTTCTTAACTAATAAGTTAAAGTTGTATTTCTTCCAATCATGCTCCCGGGGACAGGCACAGGTAGTTCATTTAAGCATTTCTTTTTCTTTACTTGCATATTCTTAATTCTTGAATGGCATTTCTTAACATTATTAACTCTTTACTCTCATCACATCTACGTCCATCCTAAGAAAACCCTCTTCGGGGAACTATTATGCCTCACAATGGGGTGGAAACATCCTGTATAATAGATCGACTTATCATTTATCCTCTAATGGAAAATGGTAGTAGATTACTACCAGTATTACTGACTAAGATGTTCATTAGATTTTAAGATAATTGGGTTTGCAGAGATTTGATAGTTTCAGCTTTGCATGTTACTTCATTCAAACAAATCAAATTTACATGAATACAGCATGGCAAGGTACTGAAGGTAAATCTTAAGTCATTTATCTTGATGGCTTCACCAACAGCATTTGCCTGTGAGTTGTTGGTCGAAGGACTAAGATCTTTCTCTAGAAAATTTAACTCAATTTAAGAAAGTTAAATATGTGGAGCAGAGCTTGGGAGGTGGAATTATTTTTAAAATGTTAAATCACTTAACTTGTGCTTCTCCTAAGCAGAAAGGGAAGGGCTGATTTCTACCCGTGAGAAATAATAATAAAGCTAATAATATATTAATATTATATAATATTATGTTATTATTATCATTATTATTATATTGTTTTTAACTTTCACGTTCTCTGATCCATAATTGGAGAAATCCTTTATTAGCTGTATAGCTGTATTTGACAACTATAAATTTGTCTTTGTTTTGTTCTTGCATGTGGCTTTATGGATCATTAAAAGGGACACAGAAATCTGCAAATGTAGGATACAAAAGCACTTGGTAGAAAACAGAAATGTGTTCTCTCCTTTTTTTCTTTATTGTCTAAATCTTTATCTAAGATGCTCCATCAAGGATCCCTACTTAACTGAGAAATGATAGTCTATAAGGGAGTGGAGCACTGAGTTTTCATTGTTGACTTGGTGACCCTGAGTAGCACCATTAATGTCCTTTTGTTTTTCTTGTCATTTTGTAGGATGAAAAGGAGCAGCTTATACAGTCCAAGAGTTCAGTTGCCAGTCTTGTTGGGAGATCAAAAGCCATTATTCAGCTGAAGCCACGCCGTCCAGACCATGTGCTAAAGAGCACCATTTCTGTGAAGGCCATCTGTGACTATCGCCAAATTGAGGTGAGGAACCTTTTCTCTTGAGGGAAAGGGGAGAGAAGAGAGGCCTTCAGTAAGGGTTATGATTTTAGGGAAAGATCAAGTTATAGACATTGGCAATTAACAATGCTCAGATCCCTTCCATCACTAAAAGAGGAGTCACTTCTACAATCTTGACCTGCTTCCTGCCTCAGTGATTGGCACCATCATCCCCAAGTTTTCAAGTTGAGAAGAGTGGGACTTTATGATACTTGGGGAGATATCCTTCCCTTCCTTTCTTATCCCCACAGTTAGTAGGGCCACCAAGTCCTACTGATATTACCATATGAATATCCCTTAAATGTACTCTCTGTTCCTGCTGCTACGCCCCTAAGTTAGATTGTAAGTTCCTTTTACTTGGATTATTTCATCAGCCTTATCTTTTGTAGTGCATTCTTATCCTACTACAAGCATGGTATTTTTTTTTAAAAATCACACTCTTCTGGTTAAGTCCTATAATTTCTCATTGTTCTTAGGAGAAAGTCCCAAACTCCTCAGTGTGGCTCTAAGATCTGGAATATTCTGTCTTTACCTCCCTAACCAAGACTGGTGAATAGCATTTGTCAGACAGTATCATGGCTGTATCCCCCAGCAGAGTATGTGGAATATAAACCAGGTTTGCCTACATACCATTGTGCCATTTTTTATTTCTAGTGATTTAGCACACTTGTAGCCACAATAGCGGGCACTACAAAAATTTGTATACAAAAGAATGAATGAATAAAAGAAAGAGTACGACTGCATTTTTCTATATCTCAGCATTTCTGTCTCCAAAGTAGGAATAATAGTAGTAGGAATAATAATATAATAATAATAACAATAATAATAATAATAGAAGTAGTAGTAGTAGGAATAATAATAATAATAGATGTCTCTGGAGAGAAAAAAAATTGATGAGCCCAAAATGCTTAAACATTGCAGGTGTCTGAGAGGAATGATGGGAAGAAAGTGAGAAATTTCAAAAAAGCAATGATGTGATTGATTATTCATGGCCCTTGATTTTTACTCTAATAGTTTTTGGTATAGAGTCTTCTTGAGGGTTGTTTTTTTTTTTTTTTTTGGTTTGTTGATTGGGTGTTTTGTTTTACTTTGAAACAGGGTCTTATTAATGTATTTCAGGCTGGCCTTCAGCTCACTATGTAACCAAGGCTATCCTCAAACTCATGGCAATTCCCCATCTCAGCCTTACAAGTGCTAAGATTACAGATGTGTACCACCACGCCCAGCTCTTGAGGGTTTTATAGTTTCCTCATAGCTCATATACTAAGTTATTTCACATGTAATAGTAATTTAATATAAACACTTATTTCCTTGATTTATTTGGTGTGTTATATAGTTATAAAATCAGAAACTCTCACTAAAGTAATGCAGATTTTTTTTTTTTTTTTTTTTTTGGTGGGGGGGTCATTTTGAGACAGGGTCTCACTGTGCAGTTCAGGCTGGCCTTGAGCTCACTTTGTAGCCCAGGCTAGTCTCAAACTTGCAATGATCCTCCTGCCTCAGCTTCCCAAATGCTGGGATTGCAGGCCAGCTTGCAGATCTTTTCTTAAACAGATTTTTTTTTCCTTAAGAATTTCATAGGGTCAGGAACCAGATAATTGGGTCAGGAACCAGATAATAATAAGCTGTTGGCTTCTTCATTAGCAATAACTTGTGACTTTGTCCCTTCAGATTACTATTTGTAAGAACGATGAGTGTGTGCTGGAAGATAACTCTCAGCGGACCAAATGGAAGGTGATCAGCCCCACAGGGAATGAGGCAATGGTGCCATCAGTCTGCTTCCTCATCCCTGCACCCAATAAGGACGCCATTGAGATGGCCAGCAGGTAACTGTGCTCACCTAAGTGCTGCCACCTCTGCTGTTTGTCTCAGGTGAACTTAGGAGCGGTGAACTCCCGTTTGTGATCTCCCTGAACAGAGTGAGCAAACTGTAAAGTTTCTTCTGGGAAAGTCCTCCTGTTAAGGAAATCAAGTCTCAGTTGCCAGCCACAGTCGATGTTCAATGATTCAGTGATATTTCTTTTTGAAAGAATTCGTGTTTATTAAGAGCTAGCTCTCAAGAGAGTTGATTTTTATAGTAACATCTACTTTACTTTGTATTAAAGTAGTTTATGTACACATTGTAGAAATTGGGTTATATTACAAAGCTTATTATAATGAAAACTAACCAAGCGTGGTGACACATGCCTCTAGTCCCAGCTACTAGGGATGCTGGAGCAGGAGGATCCCTTGAGCCCAGGAGTTAGGGATCAGCCCGGGTAGTACAGCAAAACCCTGTCTCATGAAAGAGGGAATGGGGAAGGAAAAGGAAATGAGCAGTGATCCCCACACATGGGTTCTGCCTGGCAGAGACGGCTATTTTCAACTCCATTAGCAGGGTTTTTTGGGCTTACCTCCAGATTTCTAAACAATTCCGTGTTTTCTTGATACTGCCTGATTTTTTTTTCCAACTTTGGAAATTTCTTATTACAGGAAATTAACATTTAGCTTTATGCACACACATAACTTCTTTTCTTCTGAATGCAGCTATGTCACAGTTATTTTAGTGGTTATTAGTTTGTCATTAGATTGTAGCTGAGCTGTGTAGCACTCTAGGGCATTATTATGAAGCAGCCATGCCTCACCTCTCTGACCTCATCTTTTGCCACACTTCGTATACTCAGCTATTTTTCCTGTTTTTCAAACACAGCAAGCCAGACTTTTGCAGCAAGACTTTTCTGCTTCCTTTAGATGGTTACATTTTTATTTTTGTGTGCATCTTTAGCATCTAGAACCATTCCTGGTACATAGTAGGAACTCAAACGGTTGTTGAATTAAAGAATGAATAAGTGATCAAACATATATAAGTAAACTGTTTTATTAATTTCTTGTTTAACTTTATTTCCTTGGAGTAGGCAATTGGTTTTGCTGTTTTAGTTTGCTTGTTTAGCTGCATATTATGAGTTTGTCTCCAAATTCTTCCCCTTGGATATGGATACAAAAATCTCAAGTGTGGTCAAACACCACACCTAATTTTCCTTTTTGTCTTCTCTTGGAACCCTCTGTTTTGGCCCATTCTTGGTCTGTACCTGCTCTGTAGCCCTGATTTGGTGCTGCCTGTGGCTTTTCACATCTTCTCCTGGGGATTCACTTCTATTTTGTGTTGGAACCACAGACTCCTAGTCTTACTGGTTTGCTACCTAGTGTGGGGAGTACACTCTCCAGAGCTACTGAAAAAAAGCACATGGGTGGTGCATTTTTTGATACCTCTTGTATCTGAAAATGTCTTTATAGTTATAGTTCAGGCTGGCCTTGAACTCATTACATGGTCCAAGCTGGCTTCAGACTCATGGTGATCCTCCTCCCTTATCCTCCCAAGTACTGGCATGGGCATGTGCCACCAGGCCAGGGTAAAAAACGTATTTTCAATAAATAAAAGCAAAAATTATACATTTAATGGGATGCCATGTTTTATAAATATTTCATTAGTGCATGTTAATAATACCTAATGGTAGGGAGATTATTTGGGGACATTGGTACATGCATTTAATATATGTTAATCAATTTTCATCTTATCCCCCTTCTGTCTTCTTGTAATCGTATTACATTCAGATAACATACTCAAGATTATTCAGTGTATATTAACACGATATATATAATACTGTAGCACATCCAAATTTATCTGTAAAAATTCCTATGTTGTCAGAACATGTTGCCTTTGCTTAACTGTTAGCTCAGTTTTGCTAAAAAAATCACATTTTTCTGTGGAAGGCCTCTCTTGTGGAACTCAGGTCTAAGAAAAGCTATAGCCAGATCCCATGTTGCTTCTAGGGTGGAACAATCTTATCAGAAGGTGATGGCTGTTTGGCATCAGCTACATGTTAACACCAAAAGCCTTATCTCCTGGAATTACCTGCGAAAAGACCTTGACCTTGTGCAGACCTGGAACCTAGAAAAGGTAATTGTACATTTGTATCCTATTGGGAAGTTTTTCAGAAGAAGCTTTTGTCATTACAGAGAGACTTCTTCCCAGCCAAAGGGAATGAAGGGAATCAGAAGCACTGTTTCAGATTTAGGGATAATTCAGAACTAGAATTAGCAGCTGAAAGAGTTATGGATATTTCTGATGAAAATACATAATATTTTTGGCAAAGGGATGTTGTTGTTCTTTTCTCTCTGCAGGACAGACATCTTCTTTGCATAAAATTACATAGTGGGTAAATACTGATGGTTTAACAGTTATTGCCACATCCAGTGAAGCACAAATTGTGTTCCTGGGGTGCTGGTAATATTGTGTCTTTTGATCTGAATACTAATTACATGGATGGATTCAGTTTGTGAAAATCAAAGTGTTTACAGTTATGATTTTTGCACCATTGGTATACATACATGTTAGACTTTAGTATTATGTTCCTATTTTATTGAATTTTCTCTTGGCTTCTTCTGTCTAGCTTCGATCCTCAGCACCAGGGGAGTGCCACCAGGTGATGAAAAACCTCCAAGCCCATTATGAAGACTTTCTGCAGGATAGTCATGACTCTGCACTCTTCTCAGTGGCTGATCGCCTGCGCATAGAAGAGGAAGTAGAAACTTGTAAAGCCCACTTCCAGCACCTGATGAAGTCCATGGAGAATGGTGTGTGTGCTAGAGCAAGGGAGGGAGAAAGCTGGAGTGAGAATCCTATTCATACAAACTGCACAATAACATCACCTTGAAATAGAGAAAATCTTATAGAAATAAATTCTCAAATTGCAGAAGCTGCTATTTTGATTGTTGTTGCTAATTAACCTATTACATTTTCTTGTGACTGTAATGTACTTAGGTCCTTAAAATACATGGACTGTAGGATCGGGCAGTTTCTCTGAAAGAGGCAAGACCTTGCTTTTATCAATAGGATATCTGGTCTGCTGGATCTACTGGTACCCTCTGTCTGAGGGTTCTTTATTGTCCTTCGTGTTGTTGATAACTGATAACTTAGTGGTCCTGTGTTCTGTGCTTGTGTATTCACAGAGGACAAAGAGGAGACTGTGGCCAGGATATACATATCAGAGCTGAAGAATATCCGGCTACGCCTAGAGGAGTGTGAGCAGAGGCTGGTCAAACGAATTCAGTCTCCAGCCAGCTCTAGGACTGACAAAGATGCCCGGCAGGACATTGCATTAAGGATTGCAGAGCAAGAGGTAAGCCCCAGGATGAAGATGGGTGCTGGTGGTAGAATCAGTGCTTTCACATCCATTGAATGGCAAAAGAGTATGGACCCTAGGAAGTGAGGCAACAGGCTCATAACAGTACTGCTCAGGAATTCTTCCTTGCAGCCAGTGCACACTTTGTACCTGAGGAGACGCATGTTTTCAGCCTCAAGTGCATTGTGAATTGATTAGTTTCCTAAAGACTTGAGAAGGCAGATGGACTGGTAAATTGTTCTCAGCACTGCATTTGGACTTTGTATTTTACAGTTAGTAGAGATGCTTCTATTCCTTATGTGCTGTGTTACTTTTAGGACTTATCTGCTAAGTGTGGTGACTCAAAAAATATAAGGGAAGACTAACATTCTAGTGTGGGTTCTAATGCACAGTCTCTAACTTTGAGCAAACCACCTCATTCTTAGTTTTCTGTCTTGTAAAATGGAGACAGTAATGATGAGTCACAGAGTTGTTTAGGAATTTAAACAATGAATACATATAGTGTGAGCTTCTAAAGAAAAGTCAAATGCAGTATTCTTGAAATAAAAGTAGCAAATGTTGCTTTATTAAGTACTCTGCAGCATGCAAAGGAAAGGGGTCAAGGTGCTAGTTTGTGGTTTGTAGTATAGTAAAAAAATAAAAGATTGAAGACACATTTAGCACCTTCAGTATAAACTATGTCATAGGCTAGTAACTAGTACATTTTTTAATTTCCCAGCAAACATGACTGAAGGAGTTTAGAGTGTTCATTAGAACAGTTCTGATCAGGATGGTGTCAGACAGCTCTATGAAGATTATTCAATCTATCTGGAAATGTAAAGGGGATGGCAGCAAATGGCATATGATTTTTGTTACCTTTCTCAGTTACATCTAAACCCAAAGAGAAAGATGAGAGGGGCCGTATGATTCTCACTGGCTGAGAGGGATTATGTGTGTCTGTATAAGACATCCACATGAGCCCATAATTCTCATGTGAAGATTTTCTACTTTTCTGTAGTCATAGAAAAGTCTGTTTGTCTCTGGAAAAAATAGAACATGCTAAGACCCGTTTCTTTCTTTCTCTTTCTTTTGTTTGTTTACTGCAGTGGTAGTGATTGAACCCAGGCCTGCTGTAGCACTGAATTATACCTCAGACCCCAGTCCTTTTAAAAATTTTTATTTTGAGACAAGGTCTTACTAAATCACTGAGTATCCCAGGTTGGTTTCAAATTCTTGATCCTCCTGCCTCAACATCCCAGAGTTCTGGGATTATAGACATGTACTACCATGCCCAGCCTTTTGCTTCTGTTTTGTTTTGATTTGCTTTTTGAGATAAGAGTCTCATTGTGTACTCTAGGCTTAGCACAGACTTGCTATGTAGTCCAGGCTGGCTTTGAACTTGTGATCTTCTTGCCTCAGCCTGAGTGCTCAAATTATAGGCATGTACATCAATGGCCAGCTAATTCCCAAATTTAGGCATTGGGAATCCCTTCAAACTGGCTTCTTTGTCCTTTTAACATTGGTCCTTTTATTTTTTGAGTACTTTACTTTTGACAGAGCAAGATAATCTAGGTTCCTCTTGCCTTTGTCAGCCCCAACCCATGAATCAGTTATTTTTCCAAAGAGCTCTGCACCTTTTGCCTGGAGAATAAATTTAGAAACCAAGAATAGAGTGCTAAATGTGTTTATAGCTATGTCATTGCTTGTGGCCTGCTCAGCAGACATAACTAGAAAACATACATTACCAATGCAGTTATACATACGTATATAAACACATACATGTTATATATACACATACAATCACACATGTATATATACATCTATGTGAGTAGACACATGTAAATGTATCATCTAAATGGGTGTCTGTCTTTATCTAGTTCTATACACGGCTTAACCAACCTCTGTGTAACTCACTTCCCCAGAACTGAAAAACATGCTTCATGTTACCCATAATATATTTATTTGTTGTGTGAACCTAGTATTACATATAATAGTTTGAGGACTGCATGAACAGACCACTACTACTGCATAAGCAGACCTACTGTACTAGAGTTTAACAGTTATTTGTAGGTCTTCATACCTTTGGCCTGAAGATATATCTATAGTCCAACCATTATCTTCAGGAATTACTTGTGTGTATTCTTGCACCTCCCTGGTAAGTGTGTGATTGTTACTTATCTCAAATATAGTTAGACTTGTTTATTTCTGTTTGTGTTACATTTTAGGAACTCTTCTCCCCCATTCTTCATTATTTGTTTTGTTATTGCTGTTTGTAACTTGTATTTTATTTATTTGTATATTTAAAAAAATTTATCATTGTATATTTGTAATTCATGCAGTTTACAATCATCTTGGGGAGTGGTTACATATATATATATTACAACTTATTTTTTTAAATCCTCCTTTTTCTATAAAAATGTAAAAACAGCAGTTTCATAGTTTGGTCAACCATCCTTGAATAAGCATTTTGATGTTTCTAATTCTTTGCTTTTAAAATAAGGATTTCTAGCTGGGCATGGCGGTGCGCACTTATTACCCCAGCACTCAAGAGACTGAGGAAGGTCATTGCCAAGTTCAAAGCCAGCCTGGGCTACATAGCAAGACCCTATCTCAAAAAAACCAAACCAAAACAAAACAAAATAAACATAAATAAAAGAAGCACTTCTTTCTAATATCTTTGTTCAATTCTGTCTCTGTCTTTATTGTGTTCTTGCTCCTACCAGCATACTCAGGAGGATCTGCAGCAACTGAAGTCTGAGTTGGGTACTGTTTCTACAAAATGCAACAGCTTCCTCCACCAGTCTCCATCTGGTTCGAGTGTCCCAACTCTGCGTTCAGAGCTGAATCTTCTGGTGGAGAAGATGGACCATGTCTATGGTCTGTCTGCTGTCTATCTGAATAAGTGAGTGAGCTAAGGTTTTGGGTTTGAAAGGCAATGTTTTTCAATGGGATCTGATAGGGAAGAGCCTGGAGTGTTTTGTGAGTGATTCAGAAAAATTGGAAATCTTTTGTTTGTTTTCTTTTTCTGATACTAGAGATTAAACCTAGGGCCTTTGCACATCTGCAGTGCCTTTTAGTTTGTTTGTTTGTTTGAGACAGAGTTTCACTAAGTCCATTAAGTTGTTCAAGCTGAGCTCATACTTCTAATCTTGCCTCAGCCTCCTAGAGTGCTGGGATTACAGGCATGAACCACCCTGGCCAGCTAAGATTGCAGACCTTGCAAAGCATTTACCTATGGCAAGAAGTCTTCACTTTACTTCCTAGTAACATGGAGTGTGTTGATTTGGACTGTATTGAACAAATGCCAGTGATATGGATGAGAAATTCATTTGCAGCATTAGCACTGTTTTGTACCTTCTTTCTGTTTGAGTAGATACCTCTGCAAATAACTATTAAAGGCATTAAGACAAAGGGAAAGAGACTAAATATTAAAAAGAAAAATTCCCAGCTAATTTAGATAGTAGTGTTTCAGTGTCTTCCTCCTACCCACCCATCTCCACTCATGCCCTTGAGGAGCAGATCTGGGGCACTTTGGCATCATGGGGGTTTCTGGCTTCAGGCTTTCTCTCTGTGAGTCTGCCATATGTGTGTGTCCCAGGCCCACTTAGAATTTCATTTTGAATTGTCTTAAATTGGCAGCAGGATCAGGGAGGGATTTTGGTCTCTCTTTACAAGATGGTTTTATAAAACCTTCTCATTATCCAATAATGGTGAGAGTGATTTAGTAAGTTATGTTTTGTGAACCTCTATAGCATTCTGGTGTATAAACTGAAGTCTTAAAGTTCACGTGCTAATGAAGAAAGGTGATTTTATCTCCACAGATTAAAGACAATCGACGTTATAGTGCGTAACATACAGGATGCTGAACTCTTGGTCAAAGGTTATGAAATCAAGCTGAGTCAAGAAGAAGCAGTACCAGCAGATCTCTCAGCTCTGGAATCCCATCGGTCCACGTTACGGGTCGGTTACTCTAGCTTCTTAGAAGATTGATTTAACATACCCATTGCTTTGGTTTAGCAGAGAAGTGCGATTTTGAAAGACATGCTGATTTAAGTTTGCTTTTGAACTGGACAGAATATCATACTTAATATATTTTAACATGTATTAAGAAACATGTCTAGCTAGAACAGGAAAAGACTCTACCTTTGAATTTACTCCCACCCCCCAGTAAAATCATGGCTTAATTGAACACAACCAGTAGTTGTGATGCACTTAGCTGTTACCTCATCTGATTCTTACCAGCCACTCTGTGAGGTGGATGGGGAGGGATATTTATCTCTCCTTACCGATGAGAGACTCAGACTGGATAAATGATTTATCCTGGTCCAATAGCTTGTAATAGTGAAGCAGATTTCAAACGCAAAGTTCTTCGCACAATGTTCTGTATAGTATGCCTGCCCTTGGCTCCCCAGCATGCATGAGAAAAGCAGAGACCATGACCTGTGGAGGCATTTCTGGCACAGATACTCTGTGGCCTAGATTCTGAGTCACAGTTACACTGTAGAGACCACTGCAGACAATGTCCTTGTTCTTCCCTTAGTGTGAGTGCTTTTAAGCTTGGAAAACATTTAACCTGTTCTGTGCTTATGTTTTTACAGCACTGGCTTAGTGATGTGAAGGACAAGAATTCAGTGTTCTCAGTCCTGGATGAGGAAATCGCCAAGGCCAAGGTGGTGGCAGAGCAGCTAAGTCGTCTGACACCAGAGCGAAGCCTGGATTTGGAGCGCTGTCAGGAAAAAGGCTCTCAGCTGCAGGAGCGTTGGCACCGTGTCATTGCCCAGTTAGAGACCCGGTGAGTGGTAACCCCAACATTTTCTCTCCTTAGGGTTTGGGGACTAGGACTTAAACAAAAATAGAGTTTTATCTGTGGATTCATTTGGCAGAATTGAAGCTTGACTTTGAGTTAGTAGTGATGGTCTTACTAACAATGGCTCTCTTGGATCCCACGTCTTACCTAGTTAAACCATGATGATAGTGGCTTTCATAATATAGCGATGAAGGTCATATAATGATCCAAGATTGTGGTTCTTGTTTTACTGAATTTGAATCCAGATATGAGCCATTTTCATAGTGGGGCCTTGCAGAATTTCTCATTTCCATTGCATTTGCTAATTGGTGGTTTTTATTTTTGTTACTTGATGTTCTTTCTGATGACAGATTAAATAAACAAGGTAGAAAACCATACTTTTCTGAGGCTAAGTTGGATAGGGAAATATGCAAAGGGTTTATCAATTCATCCCAAGGCTGACTAGAATAGTACAAGCAAATAGCAACTACTGTTTTTCATTTTTCCCACTCTCTGCCCCAAGAAATGGCAGTGATTCATAAAGCATAGCTGTTGTAATCTTAGTTATTCTCTCATGAGTATATACATATGAACTGCCAGTACCACCTTTTTGGCAATCTAGGTGAAACCGCTGACAAGGATTATCACGGGATGCCAAGCCACGAGAGGGTTTCCACAGCTAGTTGGTTCCACCTGGTTTCTACTCACTTTTAGGGCACTGAGTATATGGTTAAGTATTACTCAGTCTTGCGCCGCTTATTCCCAGAACTAAACTTGCATTCTCTGGTCAAGCTAGGTGAAGACCCAAGCAAGAGAAGGAATTGCCTCATTCCCTGTACTGTGTTTGTAATAAGATGTCTGATACCAGTTTCCCTTTGCACCTCTAGCCAATCTGAGCTAGAAAGTATCCAAGAAGTTCTGGGAGATTACAGAGCCTGCCATGGAACTCTGATCAAATGGATTGAAGAAACCACTGCCCAGCAGGAAATGATGAAGCCAGGCCAGGCAGAGGACAGCAGGGTGCTGTCAGAGCAGCTCAGCCAGCAGACGGTGGGTGTGGATTAGCACCGTGGGCATGGAGAAAGAAGGTGATATTCTAGCAGTTTAAAGCTTAGAGGACAGTTGAAGGACAAGACATTCTAAGTCACTGCTTCTTAGAGGGATTCAAGCAGATATAAAGATGCTGGTTTTGCATTTAGGCCAGAGAGACCTGTTAGGTCTCTTTTATCCTGAGTTTCTGTGACTGTATATTGAAATCATTAGGTGGACACATAAATAAATCTTTTAGCTTTTCTTTTGAGCAGTACTGGGAATTGAACCCAGGCCCTCTGCACTGAATGACCAACATCCCTAGTCCCATAAAATTTTTTAAAAATTCTAATACAAGGTGTCGCTAAGTCACTACATTCCTCAGGCTGGACTTGAACTTTCAATCCTCCTGCCCTAGCTTCTTAGAGTGCTAGGATTACAGGCATGCACCATCGTGCCTGGCTGTTTTTCATATTATATTTTATTTTACAAGACTATGGGATTTTGAAAACCTAGAGAGTGTAGTGAATGGAGGAAAATTATCTCATTCAAAGCATTTTTTGCTTGGTATTTTGTTATATGTCACATTGTGCTTAAAATTATATTGCCCTAGCCGGGGATATAGCTCAGTGGCATAAGTGCCTGCCTGGCAAGCACGAGGTCCTGGGTTCGATTCCCAGTACCAAAAAAAAAAAAAAAGATTATATTGCCCTAACTCCAGTTTTGGCTCACTTACCTGCTGGCTGTGAAACCCTGAATACATTTCTTACCTCTCCATAGTCTATTTCTTCATCCATAGAATGAATGTAGTTCATTAGTCATTTAACTACCTGTTATTAGGATTAAATGAAATGATGTATGTAAAATATCAGGAACAGTGGTTCTCAAAGTGTGGAGCTGCTGGGCATGGCAGTACATGCCTGTTTGCCCAGCACTCAGGAGGATGAGGTTCAAGGCCAGCTTGGGCTATATAATGAGTTCATGAGTAGCCTCAACTACTGTATGTAGCAAGACCCTGTCTCAATTTAAAAACAAAATATGTGTGGAGCCCAGAACTGAAATATTGTCTTCAGCTGGCAGTGTTAGAAATGCAGTTCTTGGGCCTCACCACAGACCTATGGAGTCAGAAATTGAGGTTAGGGCTCAGCAACCTGTGTTTTAACTAGCCAGATGCAGCTGAAGTTAATTTAACTACTACCTTGGAACGTAATACATGTTCAGCTGTTTCACTGGTGATAATGTTTGGTACTTCTGTTCCTAGAATCTATTTGCAGAAATTGAGAGAAATCAGACAAAACTGGACCAGTGTCAAAAATTTTCCCAGCAATATTCCACCATTGTAAAGGTAAGTGTACCACCCATAAATGATCTCAAGCTTAGAAAAAAATCTGCATTGCAACTATATATTCTGTGTTTGAACAAACTAAACAGAGCTCTTCTTCTAGAGGCTGGTCTCATCCTCTGTGAGTACATGTGTATTTCCTATGGCCCCTTGTTTGAGGATGCTCAGACCCTGGCTGTGATTTTAGGAGCCTCCATTTGGATGACCATGGTCCTGTCAAATTTGCTGTTTCAAAACAGAGCATTTGTATTTCCTTCCCAAATGCACTTCTTACTTGCCTTGCCTATCTCAGGAGACTGTCTGTAGTTTTCCTAGATGGTGAAGCAAAAAGCCCAAGAATCATCCTTAACCCTTCTTTTTTGCCTTAAACTTTGTGCACATTCTTAAGTTCTCTCTATTGGCTTTGTCTCCCATTGTGTCTGAATCTGACTTCCTCTGGTTACAGCTCCTCTGTCTCCCTAATTCACATCTAAGTGGGAAGTCTTCCTTTGAGTACTGCTAAGCCAGTATCTTGCTTCTGTTCCTGCCCTCATAGGCTGTTTTCCTACATGGGAGCTGGACTTACTGTTTTAGAACATATCCCGTGTCACTGAGACACCGTTAGTTGTAAGTTATATCGTATTTTTTTGCATACCAGAATAAAGAGAAACTGCCAATTATACGAAATACCATTGATTATAAGATACAGTTAAATTTTAGAGAAACTGAAATGTGGAGAAAATGTGCATCTTATAAATAGATGAAATATGGTAAATTGGGTCACAGCATTCCTTATTTAAAATGGTCTGATAATTTCATGTCATATTCACAACAAAATTTCAAATCTTTATGTCATTTGTAATGCCATATTTACATATGGCCCCTTTCTATTCCTCTGACATCAGCTTTAAAGAAAAACAATTTAAGGTCATTATATATCTACTGATTATGTGATTTTTCACTAGAGTCTTAAGTTTTAGGGGAGTAAAATTTTTTCCTGACTTGTTCTTCACTGTATATACAGTATTATACCCAAAACAATGGAAGGCCCTGTAGTAGTTCAACAAATGGAGGCATATATTTCTCTGGTTAATAACAGATTGGTCATCAGAAAAAAACCGAGTTCAAATGCTAATATTCTAGGTTTGAGACTGTGTGAATACTTGGCCTCTTGAGTTTCTGTTCCTGTGACTATAGAATGGGAACAGCATCTCACTGAGTGGCTGTTAAGCTACACTCAGCACATGGAAGCAATTGTTGTTATTATTAATATTTTGTTACAACTGCGTGTTGTTTGTGTTTCTTTAAGGAACTCATTCCATGTTTTTGTTTTTGTTTGTTTTCCCGTGTGTAGAATTTTCTAAGTAGATAAAAGGAGTAGGATATTCTATGCAAAGGAACTCTGTAATCAAGGGCTCAAGAAGAATGAAAATACATGACTATATAAGGAAATAGCAAGTATTCTGGTGTACCTAGAAAACATATGATACACATGGCCTGGGATATAGCTTTGCCTATCAGGCACAATGGCCTGGGCGTGATCCTCAGCAACACACACACACATATGAACCCAAGATAGTAGCAATAACAGTAATAATAGAAGAAGAAATATAGCACATGAGAAGCAGCAACTGTGGAAAAGATCGGCAAAGTTGGGGTTTACCTGTGAAAGGCCTTATTTAGCTCTTTTGGCTTTATCTTTTATTCTTGTTCCCTAAGATGTGGTCTTTGAGCCATGGTATCAGCATCACCTGGGAGATTGTCAGAAATGCAGACTCTCAGACCTGCTGAATCAGATTCTGCATTTTAATAAGGTCCCCAGATGATTTGTATGCATGTTAATGTTTGGGAAACTCTGCTGTAGGTCACTGAAAACTGTTTAATCAGAGGAGCAATGTTGTCATCTTTGTGTTTTGGGAAAGATATTCTGACAGCAGGATAAAAAGTAAAGTGGAGGTGAGCCTAGAAACTGTGATAAGGAGTGCTTGCCCTATTGCCCCATTCATGTGACGGGAAGAGCCTGGGACCAGAGCAGCACTCTTAAGGTTGCAGAGAAAGTGGCACAATAGCATGGGAGAGGAGAAAAACATCTCTTGAGGGATTAAAAGACAAAGAATCTAGTTTAATCTGCTACTCACCCACAGAGCTAATTAGGGAAATTTTTTTTTCCCCTTGAGGTTTCAATTTCCCCATGAATGAGATGAAAGTGAACCATAAATTGTAAACTTAGAAGTCAACAAGCCCCAAGGACTAAATCTAGCCTGCATACTGGCTATGAGAAATGATTGAAAGAAATCAAAAGACTAGTATGTCATGACACATTAAAATTATATGAACTTCAGATTTTCAGTGTCAGAATTTTATTGTAATACAGTCACATTCTTCATTTGCCTGTTGTTTATAGCTGCATTTACTTAAAATTGCAGTTATGATAGAATATGGCCCAGTATTTTCTATCTGGCCCTTTTTTAGGAAGTTTCTAATCTTTAGTCTGAATGATTACCAAAGTGCTTTCCAGCAATAAAATGCTGTGGTTCTTTTGCATGGTTTATGTAAGGTTTAACTATGTAACTAAACGTAGTGGAATTTCTTCCTCTCTCAGGACTATGAGTTGCAACTGATGACATATAAAGCCTTTGTGGAATCACAGCAGAAGTCCCCTGGCAAACGCCGTCGCATGCTTTCCTCTTCTGATGCCATTACACAAGAGGTGAAAGGGTGGGGAAGGGAATATTCCTCTGTCTTCCTTTAAAAGACTTATTTGTGTAAGCCTTCCAGTTTGATTTAGGGCTCACTTTCCTGTCGAGCATGTGATGCCCTAAAAATTAATTATTGAAATTTACTTTACTGGCTGATAATTTGTCTAAATTGTTATTTTGAACTACAGTTCATGGACCTGAGGACTCGTTATACAGCACTGGTGACCTTAACGACTCAGCATGTGAAGTACATCAGTGATGCACTCCGGCGGCTGGAGGAGGAAGAGGTGAGGATATTTGGGTCCTGAATCATCTTTTTGGTGGTGGTGGTGTTTTGAGGCAGGGTCTCCTTATATAGGTCAGGCTGGCCTTGAACTCACCATGTAGCCCTTTATGGCCTTGAACTCATGGTGATCCTCCTGCCTCAGCCTCCTGAGTACTAGGATTATAAGCATGCACTGCAACACCCAGTGGGTCCTGAGTCATTTCAAAAGTTCAATTAAAAATCCTAGAGCTGGGGATGGAGCTCAGTGGTAGAGGGCTTGCTTAGCATGCATGAGGCCCTGGGTTGAATCCCCAGTACTACCAGATTGTCATCATTATCTGTGCTTCATCCATCAATGTTTCATGTGCATGCACAGTGGCTTTTCATTATTTGCAATAATCATGTTTTACAGAGCTGCTGCATTATTGACTACTGAACCTTTCCTTTCAGAGAAATACTTCTGCTCTTGCTGGTCTTTAGTCACATTTTGTCAAGAGATCAGTAGATAACTTTGTTTTATGTGTGTTTTTGTCTAAAGACTTTTTAAAAAATACATATTATTGGTTCAGTAACACTGAATTCATGGCCAACAGCACGATAACTCATCTCTCAACCAAAATATTTTTTCTCCATAAAGCATGTTATAGTCTTCTGCTGAGGAGCACTGGATGACACTTCAGTCCTCCCTTAGAGCCATTTTAAATAGTGAAATCACAAAAAAATCCACAAAAATGTGGGAAACATGATATTAAATAGACTGTCAGAAGTATACTGATTTGCGGTAAGACAACTGACACCAGGAGGGCAAGCGCCACCTTACTCTACTTCATCATGTCTATTGGGCGATTGAAATGTTTTGCCCTTTTGTGTATTGTTTGGCATGACCATAAAGCACCACAAATACTGTATTGATTGTGGAGTTAAAATAAATTTTAGTAAGAAGACACATTTACAAATACAGAATCTGTGAATAGTGAGAGTTGATTATATTATATCCAGCATTTTCACTTTTTAAGTTTTTTTGTTTTTTGTTTTTTGAGACAAGGTCTCATTATGTAGTCCAGGCTGGTCTTAAACTCATTACAATTCTGTTGTCTCAGCCTCCTGAGTGCTGGGATTACCAACATGCACCATCACACCTGACAGTATTCCCGCTTCCTTTTTTTTTCTTTTCTTTTTCTTTTTTTTCTTTCTTTTCGTTTTTTTTTTGGGAAACAGAGTCTCACTGTAGTTCTGGCTGGCCTTGGACTCACTAATGGAGCCCAGGCTGACCTCAAATTTCTGGTGCTCTTCCTGCCTCAGCCTCCTGAGTGCTGGTATTACAGGCATGTGCCACTTGGCTCCACTTTTAAATATGTTTATGATAGAAACGAATATGGTGTCAGTAAAATATAACTTGTTAAAATAAAATATTGAAATTTTCCAATTCCGTGCCATGGAATGCTATGACATTGTTAAAAATAATGAAATAGATTTGGGGCAGGGGTTTGAGACAGGCTCTCACTATTCAGTCCAGGTTGACCTTAAACTCACTATGTAGTCTAGGTGGGCCTTGACCTCACAGCAATCCTCTTGCCTCAGCCTCTAAAGTATTGAGATTACAGGCCCAAACCACTGTGCCCGTCATGAAATGGATTTAAGTGAATTGACAGGGAAAGATTTTTATAATGTATTACTATTTTATGTTCTGTATAACTTAAGTAAAAAGCTATGCAACAAATATCCAGTGTGGCATAGAAACAAGATTAGAAGTATACGTATCAAGCTTACAGGGAAATAAGATTAAGAGTACATATATTATATTATAAGATTAAGAGTACATATATTTCAGATTTGGCTGAATTTGTTGTAATTAGCATGTAGTCTTCTATAATTATAAAAACCTATGTTTACAAAGTGAGTCTGCGACTATTCAACCACTCAAAATGCTGTTAAAAATATTAACCTTACCATATTTTGCTGTGTAAATTAAACGGCTTCCTTTTTGTTAGTGCTTACCTCATAATCTTCATTGGCTTCAGTCTCTTCACTGGTAAACCTAACAATTATGAACATATGCAGTATGCTGTATGTAAAGGGTAGTAATTTTCACATCCTTTTTAGGAATTCTGAAGTCATGCCAGTTTAATGAGACACTGACCAACGTACTGATTCTCTACTTTTCTTTCTAGAAAGTGGTAGAAGAGGAAAAACAAGAGCATGTGGAGAAGGTTAAAGAACTCTTGGGTTGGGTATCTACCCTGGCAAGAAATACACAAGGAAAAATTACCTCATTCCACACCAGAGAATCCACAGACATTGAGAAGGCTATTTGGGAACAGAAGGTGAGTGGAAGGGCAGGTGGAATAACATGTGGGAATGCACCAGAGAGAGAATAGGTCACATGTGGGCCTTTCCAGAAGCAGCTGTTACTTAGTAAATGATAATTTTGAGCATTTAGAGAAATTTCGAAGTTGCCTTGTTTCTTGTTCTTTTTCAGATCAGCCATAGCCCATTGATAATAATATCTGACCTAAGCTGTATATTCCTATGATTTTTTAAAAGGTGACTTCAAATAATATTACATTTTTTTAATTCTTGAGTTTTCTCTTTATCCCTACCACATAGGTTCTGGCAGAAGAGCTGACAACCAAGAAAGAACAAATTTCTGAGGCCACTAAAACTTCACAGATCTTCTTGGCTAAGCATGGTCATAAGTGAGTATTAAGTGTAAGAATGCTTTCATGATAGAAGTCTGAACTGATGGAGATCTGAGTCATCAGCATAGTAAAACCATAAGAGTAAATTAACCTAAAAGGGCTTTCAGGGCTTTTCAACCTATAAAGGAAGCCTCAGGGAAGGAAGAGGAAAACTTTGGTGAGTGGTGTCCCATAACTCAAGAGAGTTCTGAAGAGGAGGGAGTAGTCAGAAGTCTAGAAAGGTTGAAAACTCTGAATTAAATTTATCAAGTTGGATGTTTTGGAGGATTCCTGTGGCAAGGTGTGCATAAAGTAATTTTGTTAGGAGTGAAGCCAGCAAGTGAGAGAAGTAGTGTCCAGTGGTGTATGTTCTCTTTGGATAGGCAGAAGGATGTCATGAAAATTAAGGGGTCTGAGGCTGATGGAAGAAGGTATTGGCTGCAAACTCCCAAGAACATTGTGAGGCAGTGTTGAGACCCAGATGAAATGGGAAACCTGTAGGAGACACATTGTGGAACTGTTTCTCCCCCTCAGTGGATGTATTTAGCAGCATGGATATGAGAGTAGACAGGTCAAATGGTACTCTTGCTCTGAGATGTTTTCTAAGGTTAGTGATTGGACAGTACAAGGATAATAGTAAGGGACTGATTAAGAAGATGAACCCAGGTGGGAAGGTCTGGATTCCAAAGAGAAAAAACTGAAGATAGTAGAACTGATAGCTTAAGAACAAATGGAAGAGCTGGGCATCATGGCACATGCCTGTAATCCCAACACTCAGGAGGCTGAGGCAGGAAGATCTCCACAAGTTTGAGACCAGCCTGGGCTCCGTAGTGAGTTCAAGGCCAGCCAAAACTGCATCCTGAGACCCTGTCTCAAAAAAGAAAAGAAAAAAAAAAAAAGAACAAATGGAAGAATCAGGTAAACCTTGGAGGATTTCAGTTGTAATTCAGATTTCACTTCTAATTTGAGTCAACATAGCATAGTTCTTTCTCCCATAAATATAGAATGAAAAAGAGGCCATTAACTTGAGGGAGACATGGAAACGAAGGGACTGGGTGACAAATACACAGTTGACTTTAATTTTATCAATAGTGTCTTTTCGGAGCTGGAGATTTAGCTCAGTGGCAAAAGCGCCTGCCTGGCAAGCACAAGGTCAAGAGTTTGATTCCCAGTACCGGAAAACAAACAAACAAAAAAAAAGTAAATAGTGTCTCTTTTCTTGGGAAAGGATAAAATCAAATATAGTTAAATAGCAAACTCTGGTAAAGCTAGATAGGTAAGTAACAGAAAAATAAAAATTCTAAAGTTGAATTAGAATAGAATCTTATCAGTGTAAAATATTTTATTTTTAAATGGGGAAAGGTATAGAAGTAAAGAAATACAAAACAGGAAGATCAGCTGTAATCATGTGGTGGATTATTGTACTGTAAGGTGAAGCAGAATAATGTCAGGTAACGGCAAAGTACAGAATTGCTGTGTGTGGAGAGGGCTGAGGGGGAAAGAAGGTCATTTGGATGGAGGAGGCTGCAGGATTGTAAGCAAAGGGTATCCTAGTGTTAGCATGGCTAAGCATCGTGACTTGATTTGAGACGGCCAGAAAACTATGAGATGTCATCCAGGAATACAGAAGAGTGGTCAGGTAATCCATTCAAGACTATGAAGTAACAGTTTTGAACTCGTAGAGGAGACTTTGGAGAATGATTTTTTCGAAAGGAACTTTAATGTGTCATCTTCCAGGCTCTCAGAAAAAGAGAAGGAGCAGATATCTGAGCAGTTGAACACGCTGAACAAGACTTACCATGACCTTTGTGATGGCTCAGCAGACCAGCTTCAGCAGCTTCAGAGCCAGCTGGCTCAGCAAACAGAGCAAAAGGTATTTTTAGTTTTTGTCTCCACATGTTGGGAGGACCCTTCTTGAGTGGTATGAAAGCAGCTGTGCTGATTGATTGAGAGTCACAATCACTAGCTTTCTATGACCAATATGACTTAATTTTTAACCTCACCTTAGCAGCCATTTGTCCTGTGTTTCGTTACAGGGGTTCCATGATGTGTTAGTCAGTCAAAAACACCAGATGGCATTTATGGCAAAGTTTTAAGACTTGACTCACTTTCTTTGTCTTTTGCCATTTTGTGGCAAAAAGCAATCAAGAAGAACATAAATTCTATTATCTGATCAAAGGGCAATAGGATTACTCCTTTGTGGTATTGTCACCCAGAGCTGGTAGCTCAGAAGGTGAATATTGGGAAGAAATAGCTGTGAGCCTCTTCTGTCCATACAGTAATGTCGTTTCACAATAATTGGTAGATTAATTTCACTGACTGAGGGTCTGGGGATTTAGCTCAGCGGCACAGCGCCTGCCTGGCAAGTGCAAGGTCGTGAGTTCAATTCCCGGTGCCGGAAAAAAAAAACAAAAAAAAAATTTCACTGACTGAGACACTGGTTCCCCTGACCCATGGTCATCCCATCGTGTGACATCTTTACCAGTTACCACCCCATGTTCATGTCCTGGACCATATGAAAGTCGTTATAGTTGCTGTTAATTGTCCTAAGTTCTTCCTGGATACTTATGTGTGTGTACACTTACCATATTATATACATGTGTCTTTGGGATATATATGTGTGTTTGCCTGCTTTTTTCCTATGTTGTGAAGCAGTGGCCAATATATGTGGGGAGGGCCAAAGTTTAAACTCATGTGATTGTCCAATTTGATCCAGATAACGCTGAAAATGATGATGAAACAAAATATGCCATGACTCTTGTCCTTGAATATAAATTTGTACAGAGCCAGAGCTGTAAAAACTACAAGACAGAACCAGCTCTGATTTGAAGGTGTATTTTCAAAAAGCATGTGCTGGTAGAGCACTCTTTATGTAGGTGACCCACTTTTAATGGCTTGTTGCTTCACCATATAAGAGAGTATGTGAAAAGTTTTAACAGTTGCTTGCTGAGAACATCCAGTTCTCATTCTGAAAGGTTAAAATGGGGGGAAAAGAAAAAAGAAAGACGAGCTGCTGAGCACCACTACATTGAGCATGATGTGTCCCCTGTACTGTGTGTGTGTTTCATGTGAAGTATTGTTCTGATTAACTGACATCCTTGCTTACAAGTTTCACTAACCCTTTGGAGTTTAAGCACAAATGCACAAAGGGAAAAGAGGACGACCTGTTTGGGGTTCTTTTTTGCAAAAAACAAACAGTCGCATGCTGGACGCTAACACCAAGCTTACACTGTGTGTGTGATACAGCTGAGCTGCTCCGTAAAGCTCTATCTCTTATCTGCCCGAGGCGTGCCCTGCAATTCTGGTAAGTAGAAGCCTTTTATGTTTTCTTTCCTCTTCTCCGTCTGTCTTTAATGCTCTTTTAGGTCAAAATGCCCATGTTCAGTTGCCCTGAAAGGGATTTTTCTGGATGACTTCCCAGCTCACTGCCGCCTGCCTATTTATTCTCCAGTCAAGATAGTGTTGGGAGGAACAGTGTGGCCTTTTCTCTTCTGCTGCACTCCAAGCTTCTTTTCAATGTCAGCATTTCTGAGGCCCCATGAATCTCACGGAAGAAACTAGAATTTCTCACCAGAGTCCTTGCCTGCGTTTCCTAAAAGGAATTTATAGAATTCTCAGTCAGACATCCATCATCAGTTGTTCCGTTAAGCACATACAGTGAAACAGGGGTGGGAACCAACTCTGTTCTTGCCTCATTTGCTACCCGTTGTGCGTTCTCATAGTATGAAGTCAATAAGCTTGAAGTCCTTGGTGCGTGTTTTTAAAATTTGGGAGAAATGACTTAATGATTTTGAGGGTTTTCTTACTGTTTATTCATCTACATTTATTCACCTAGTGTTTGTTGAACTTCGTTCTATTCCTATATACTGGATGAGAAAAGTATACTTTAATGGGGCTTATTTCTCCCTGAAAAATCATATGCATTATTTAGGAAGTAAGGAAATGATTGGCAGTTACTTCACCAAGATCTTCCCTGGATAAATTATTAAGAGTTAAATAAGGGCTGTGGACATAGCTCAGTATGGAGTGCTTGCTTAGCGTATATGAGATCCTGAGTTTAATCTCAATGCTGGGGGAAAAAATAAAGTTAAATAATGACCAGAAAGTAACACTGACCAAAGAGGGACATACAAAATCATCTAAAGAAAGTGATGAGCTGGGTACAGTGGCACATGTAATCCCAGCACAGAAGGAGGCTGAAGCAGGAGGATTGCAAGTTCAAGTTTTGCTTAAGCAACTTAGCAAGACCCTATCTCAAAATAAAAAAAATTAAAAAGGCTGGAAATGGCTTTCAGGGCCAGGGTTTGATCCCCCAGTGCTGCAAAAGAGGAAAAGAAAGATAATGTACACGAACTCTAAATACCACATTTCTATAATAAGGGGCTTCTAAATTGGAAATTTTAGGAGCTGTTTCTAGTATTTCTATTTATAAGGGTAATTTTGAGATTGTATAAAGTTTACTTTATTTACTAACCGTAGAACCTGACTCCTGTGTAAGTGACTTTGTATGCTTCTCTGGAACTATGAAGTGAAGGCAATATAAAGCATAAGATTTAGAGTCTCATCTTGGTTTATTTCTGGAACTCACTAGTTTTATGACCTTGGTCAAATTATTGAACTTCCTATACCTCATTTTCTTATCTGCAAACTGAAGATTAAAAGTTGTTTTCATAGAATTTTTATGTGGACTAAATATTAGCCCTCAAAAAACCTAATAGTAAGTGGTAGCTGTTGTCGTGGTGGTTGTACTACCCATTCTGGCCTGGACCACAGGAAAGTTACTAGTGGTTCAAGAGGCAAGGGTCTCCAGTCTGTTCCATCCTTGACTTGTTACTTCCAAGTCCTAGAACTAATTTAACTCAGAGCCATTACCTTAGAGAAAGCGAGCATTGGCCACCAAGACTATGACTATTCCAATTGCCAGTTGCTTAAGTAGTATTCACAGACCCACTTACTGGGATGCCCAGCTCTTTCATGGCTGTTGGGCTGCTTAACTCTCATCTCATCCTGTGGATCCATCCTGTTATACTATCAGCAGAGAAGTGCTACTTCCAGAGTCTTCTGCATGGGTTGCAGCACTGAGAAGTTGTTATATGGGGTTGAATTCTCACTTTTTGAGAACTGGTATGTGTATACAAGAACCTTTGTGGTGACTTAGTTTTAGAATAGCTGTCCTCTCACTTTCATTGCTTGCCACTTTGTAGTGCTTGTCATTTAGGTATGCTTAATGCCACGTATCATCTTTCAAAAGTACTGTCCAAGCTTCTAGCCATATTAAACATTCTGCAATTTCAAAAAAAAATTTTTAGCATTAACACTGCCAGGCTTGCTACAGAATATTTCCTATGTGTTAGAAGCTATCCCAGGTTGCATTTTTCTTGTGGTCAGAATTTTATTTACTGTAGTTCTTTGAATGATTCCTTATAACAGTTATGCTTTACCATTGCCTCTGATTCTTTTTTTCTTTTTTTTCTGTAGGGTTGCAGAGCAGTTGCTGGGGTGATTGACCTAGGCACAGTGGAGATATTTCCCATCTTCGGAGCCATGCAAAAGGGCCTCATTGACCAAGACACAGGCCTTGTGCTCCTGGAGTCCCAGGTTATCGTGTCTGGCCTCATTGCACCTGAGACCAGTGAAACGCTCTCTTTGGAGGAGGGCCTAGCCAGAAACCTCATTAATCCCCAGCTGTACCAGCAGCTCTTGGAGCTACAGAATGCCCTGTTCTTAATAAGCAGGCGTACTGAAAGCGGAGGCCCTCTTTCTGTGGTGGAAGCAATTGAAAGGAGAATAATCAGTGAGAGAGTTGGACTGAAAGTCTTAGAAGCTTACCTGGCAACTGGAGATTTCAGTCTCTCCCCAAGTGGGGATTGTATTAACCTGGAGGAGGCTTTTCGTCAAGGCTTCATTTCTACTTGGCTTTATTCATTGGTAGAATCTCACCTGAGATCATCTAAGAATTTGATCGACCCCAACACAGCTGAGAAAATTAGTTTGTTGGATCTGATGCAGAGATGTATTATCCATAAGGAATCCGGATTGAGATTACTGCCTGTGAAGCAGTTGGCAGGGGGAATGGTGAGCTTGAAATCAGGCCGGAAGGTTAGCATTTTCCGTGCAGTTCAGGAAGGGCTAATAGATAGGCAGGTCACCGTCCGGCTGTTGGAAGCTCAGCTTTTTGCTGGTGGCATAGTAGATCCAAGAACAGGACATAGACTTACAGTCCAAGAGGCTGTAAGACATAATTTGATCGACCAAGATATGGCCTGTGCTATTCTCATAAGGCAGCTTCAGACAGGAGGCATCATCGACACTGTCACTGGGCATCGCATGACAATAGATGAAGCAGTGAGCAATGATCTAGTATCTGCTAAGATTGCTCTTGTGATTCTAGAATCCCTCTGGTCATTCATGGGATTGTTACAGCCTGATTCTGGGGAGATGCTTCCAATTATAGATGCCCTTGAACAAGGTATTATATCTACTGAACTAGCACGTAATATCCTTAGTAATCGACAGCATATTAAAGCCTTATTTCTGCCAGCAACCACAGAGATTTGGTCCTGGAAGAAGGCAGTAGAAAATGGTATCTTGGATGAAGATCTCGCCAATAACTTAAAATCAATTTGTATACCTGATGTGGTGCCCAACATGCAATTATTGGGCTCTTCAGATCAAAGCAACTTGAGCATTACTTCTGGAGCAGCAGCTGTACCATGCAGCAAGGGCCACACTGAGGGCATGGCAAACCATGGCGATAAGCTGTTGTTTCAACTGATGACTCATAGCTATATTAATGTGCAGAATGGACAGAGGCTGCTTCTGTTAGATCAAGAGCTGATGGAGACTCTAACATCCAGAGGTGAATATCAAATAAGTCCTCCAGAAGTGTTTGGAATTGGGCATCAAAGACTATACATCCATAAGGAATTGCAAGAATCAGTGAATAGGAACATCACAGAAACTTTCAGTGATGGGCTTATGGTGAGGCCATGTGAATTCCAGTTTTCTTCTGAGAACAAAGGACATCGCAATCAGGAAGACTGCTCTGAAACAAAAGGTGAGAAGACTGACGTAGGAACAGAATATTCTTCTGTAGAGAATCCTGAGAAGCATCTGTTGGTAGGAGAACAAAACATGATTAATGCAAATCTTGACCCTTTGAAGGTTATAAATAAAATCAAGTCAGAGTTACAAACACAGTTGTTAGGTACTAAAAAGGAAGCCCAAACAGAAATGTCTGTCAGAGAAAATGACGCCAGAGGACTTCTCCTGGTGGTACCTCCTAAAGAAGGGCCCCTACTTCGCAAAGATCTTTTTTCTGCTGAAATTCCAGAGGAAGAACAGGAAACTCCCAGAAAAACTTCCCTTGCAAGTCAGAAAGAAAAAGCAAAGATTTGTAATGTTAAACATACTTCCCATGACACTGAAAGACCTCTTATAAATTCCAAAAGCAAAAAATCACAACTTCAGGTAGAGAAATCTCTAGGTTTAAAATCAGAATTAAAGCCAAAAAATGAAACGAATATTCATTCTTTGGACGAAGAGAAAGTGTTACATATAATGCATTTGGCTCGGAATGACGATACACAAAGCCAAGAAGGACAAAATATTGCAGGTGGGAATAGCATGTTAGAAGAGAATGAGACAGAAGATAATGGTAGTAAAACTTCTCTATTGTGTAGTCATCCTTCAGAATTGCTTGAAGACGCTACCTTGAATATATTATGTGCACAGCTACTAGATGGCGGTATCATTCATGAAGAAACAGGTCAGAAGCTCTTACTAAATGAAGCAGTAGCCCAGGGCATTGTGCCCAGCCACACTGCTGTGAAACTTATGGGAAAATTGAACATGTTTCGGGGCTTCTTTGACTCTCAGACCTGTGAGTCTTTGACAACTGAAGAAGTCATTGATGAAGGTCTGATGGATGAGAAATTATTACAAAAAGTCCTCATGGCAGACAAGGCTATCAGTGGTGTCATAGACCCCCGGACCCACACACTGTGCTCTGTAAAAGATGCAGTTACAATTGGACTTCTTGACAAGGAAACAGCCAGCCGAATTTTAGAAGGGCAGGTGGTAACTGGTGGAATTGTTGACCTGAAACGAGGCAAAAGAGTTTCAGTAACTTTGGCCTTAAATCTTGGCTTGGTAAACATTACTGATCAGACAGAGCTTATAAATCTGGAGAAAGCTTCCAAAGGCAAGAACACTGAAGAACGAGTTAGGGAGAGATTAATCAGTCTACAAATGGAAACAACAGGACTTGTGGACCCTGCCAGCAAAGCCCCTTTAACCGTTGTACAGTCCATTGACAGAGGTCTTTTGAAGAAAGAGGAGGCCATTCATTTGTTGACTAAGCAGGTGATAGATGGAGGTATTATTCACCATACATCTGGGATGAGACTTTCTGTTGATAATGCCTGTAAACATGGCTTGATTGGTGAAGATCTAGTCAAGCAACTCAAAAAAGTTGAGAATGTAAACCTCCATCAGTTTTTTCATCCTGAAACAAAGGAAACACTTCCTCTCCCCAAAGCCATAAAATTAGATCTTGTTGCCCCGGACTTTAAAAAAGAAATACAAGAAATTCAGACCTTTAGTGAAAACTTTGTGGATCTCATTTCTGACCAGAGACTGACCTTGGCAGAAGCTAACAAAGAAGGACTGTTAACTAATAAAGCAGTATTATCTTCAAGAATGATGCATGGGGTTGTAGATCCTGAGGACTGCAGAATTGTTCCATACTCAGAATTGGTAAAGAAATGCAAGATTGATGTTGAGTCTGGACAGAGATATCTGGAAGTAATTCCGTTCTCAAACATTAAAGATGGAATGAGTGACAAAGTACTTTCACTGTCTGAAGCAATTCAGCTAGGAAAGGTAGACTTTGTATCTACATTGAAGGTTTTGGAAGTGCAGGCAAATACTGGTGGGATCATAGATACAGCCACAGGGAAAAAACTGACATTGGCAGCAGCTTTGGATCAGAAACTGGTGGATGAGAACATGGCCAAAATTATTGCATCTCATCAAGTGTTAAGTGGAGGAATTGTTGACATATTTAATGATAAGAGAGTAACTTTAACAGAAGCTGTTCAGAAAGGATTTATCAGCCCTAAACTAGCAACTGTGATTCAAGCAGATACTGTGAAGTCTGGTGATCACACAACCCTTATCAAAGAGCAAGATGGAATTGAAGTATGTGAAGTAAAGGATGAATTTCTAAGAAAGGAGAAGTTAATTGCTTATAAGAAGACTGCCAGAATGAGTTGTGATAAAAGAGAAAGTGAGAGATTATTTGCACAAGAAAAATTTAAAGGAAAAGTTTCCAATGTGAAGCAGGCAAAAAAGAAGAGAGAAATTTCTGAATTGGAGGGCAGGGATGGTGAAAAAGAAAGAGCTTCTGCAGATACTGCAGGATCTGTGAGTGTTATAACCCCTAGTAACATTAACAAGAAATCTTCAAGTCAAGGTTCAGTGCCACATCCTTACTCAGAAGTTTCTGATTTTAAACTCAGAGTGGCTAGAAATAACATGGAAAAAAATACAAATGTAGAGCAGGAGAAAGTAATGACAAAAATAGAAATAATCACTCATATGAAGCAGTCTACTTCAGGTCTGGAAGCTGAAGAAGCAACAGAAAATCAAGAGGAAATTATTTCAGAAGTACAAGAGTCTAATCGCAAACCACCAGGCAGATTTGTCAGTGAGCAGCCAGTAAATACTAGGGAGAAAAGTAAGGGAGAGAAGAGGGAGGTGACTATAGAGAAAAGTGTCAGCACATGCAAACAAACAGTTCTTTCTGAAAAAAAGTTGACTCAGAAAACTGCTGGTAGAGATGAGCATGACTCTACTATAAAGAGTCTGTCTATGGAAGTGTTCAAAGGTGAAAAAGGGGAGGAAGCTGATAAAGATGTAGAACTCCCTGTTATTTGTAAAATTGAAGACTTTTCTTCCCAAATGACACCCAAAGGAATTTCTGTAAGAAATCAAGATGCTTTAACATTCTTTACACAAATCAGTGATGACGAAGGAAAAAATGGAAGCCTCTGTTTGACTTTTAAAACAGGAGAAAATTTATCTCAAAAAATTTCTGCTGGGGCCCAGAGTGAGCCATTGTCTTCTGTGGCCCCAAGAACTGAAGGATCACACTACCAGCAACTAGTTGGAAAACCTCAAATTACAGGTACATCACAAATGTCCAGAGCAATCAAGATTGTCCAAGGAACTACCAGACAGGAGACCAACTTTAACCAAGGTTCCTGCATTACTTCTGAGACCAAGGAAACCAAAGATCTGATTTTCCCATCTAAAGAAGCTAAAGAAAAGTCAGACCAAGAAGTATATTTTGATTCAACAAGCACTCTTAAATTAGAAAAAACAGTTTCTAGAATAGATCCAAAAGAAGTCAGTTATCCAGAATCCTCAGACAGGAAAGGCCTCCTTTATGAGGAGAGCAAAGATGATCCTGAACTTTGTGAAATTCTCAAATCTAAAATAACAACATCTCAGGATACAAATGGAGAAAAATTTCGAGAAGTAAGCCCTGTAGTTACAGGTCCAGAAGCAGGGTCCCTTGAAGCCATAGTGACACAGAAGGTTCCCAGAGTCTTGGTATCCCTTCTTCCAGAGAAACTTCTCAAAGATGTGTCAGAGAAAGAGAGTACAGGACAACAGGACAACATCGTCACTCTTACTGTTCCGGAAACCAGTGAAGAAATGGCAGTTCCCCTGACCTCATGCTCTTCAGTGACGATGGATGGGAAGAAACCACAGGAAAAGCTCAGAGAACAAACTCCTTGCATGGCTGCACCTGAGGGAAAGGGAAAGAGTGGAGGTGTAAACCCAGAGCCCTTGAGAGCAACTCAAGTAAGTCTCTCCTGAGTATGTTTGTATTTTTTAAAAAATATAACTAGTTTAACGCTACAACTCTTAACTGGGTAAAGAGTTGGCATATGTATAATTATATGAATGTATTCATTGTAGAACACTAGATAATTCTTTTTTTTTTTTTTTTT